TAATTATTAAAATAAAGTATTCACTAAATCGAATCGACTGGCAACAGGGTACCTAAAACGCTATTTACATTAGAACATTTTGCCGGATTAATCTCCTCTATGGGGATTTATTTGACTTATTTGTAATGGAATTAATTATTTAGATCTACTGGATTTAATAAATCCAATACAATGTAAATGTAATATTATAATCTATATAACGTTATAAACTATGTCGACTGTATGAGTTTGTTCAGGTAGGATATGTTGAGATGAATAAGAAATGCGTAACACTGTAGTGAAGGTAAAAAAAACTTCAGATATTTAGAAAAAACTTGAATCAGTCAGTATATGGCATGATATATAGCATGGTACAGGAGATATCGGATATAAGCACATCTCATATATAACAAAGATTATCATAATCACAGAGCCTTTTTACATCTCCTCAGTGTAAAATTAGTTTCATATAAGAAAAACACGAATAAGAAAAACACAGATATACAAAAAATTTGCCAAACACCAAAGCTGGCAAAGGTATTTGAAAACGTTTCATACATGGTACAATTATAAAAGGTAACAGCAAATCCCAGCTGATTTGATTCCAACGTAATACTAGTGTCAATATGAATTTGACAAATTATGTTTTTAAAAATCACCCAACAGGAAAATTGGGAACGCATACAATTTGAAATTGTTCTTTATTAATGTGCTCCCGTATTCAATTTACTCAATCTGCCTGCTGGGAAAGTTTGAGGAAGCAAATCTTTCTTGATGGAATTACTCGCTATTCCCAGCATTGTCATATATGTTACACATATATATGGAAATGGCTCAATTAAAGGAAAGACGTGGAAGCGATAGAAATATAAATTTGATGGATTTTCATTCATGTTTTTCAATTTTTATTTTGAGGATTCAAAAATATTCCATTTTCAAAATAAAAATAATTTGATGATAATTTGTTTGTTTGTTTACATTTTTCTGTCAAATGAGTTGACACTAGTAGAACTTACAACAACAAATTTCCATGTGGTTGTTGTATCGTTTTTTGTACAACAACACTTGCTGTTACCTTTTATTATTATACCATGCGTTTCATATAAGAAAATATGTAAGATTGTTGGCCAATTTATTTACATTGAAAATGTTCAAAGAAAAATAAAATACTTTGTCCTGATTTAGATTAGGCAAGTTTATTTGCGGCAATTTTTATCGTTCTCTTTTGAACATGCTTCATGCGTCTATACAAGGCAATTCGGTTTCAAATATATATTGTTACGTTCTTGGATTTTACTTAATCCCGTGTAGACGTTGTTTTATTTCCCGATACAATTCGTACCAAATAAAACGCGGGTTCTTTCGGATTACGATTATTACAATGATTTTATTCACACAACTTTACTTTGCACTTTACACGACGGTTTCAATTCGCGATCTGATTCACAACTGACTCACTGCCTTTCCATTTCCCCTATTTATATGAGCCTTGCTTGTAGCTACAGAAGTTTCTAGACGATCTGGTAACACCTAGATCACGAACAATCTACCAATGCAACAAACACACATACAAACTTACATTGAGTAAACAATAACAACAACACATACAAACTTACATTGAGTAAACAATAACAACAACACATACAAACTTACATTGAGTGAACAACAACAACAACACATACAAACTTACATTGAGTAAACAATAACAACAACACGAATACAGGCGAGGGGGTAACAAAGAAAGAGGAATGAAGCGATCATTAATGATGACGTTTAACAAGAATTGTACGTCAACAAAAAAATAGACAATGAAAGAGGAAATGGAAGGATGTAGAAAAATCTATACAGTAGTTGTTGTTGTGAAGTTATTCAAATAAACTGCGTAGTAGAAATTTACGTTACAATTCAAATTCTTAAATTAACGGAATTCATCTAAAGTAACTTAAATCTAAATTTATATTCGTAACAATATATTTTTTTACATTTTGTGACAATGTTCTGGATTGGTATTTCAAATTACTGACACTACAAACAAAATACACAAAACGAATTGCCAGAAAATTGTCGGTACGAGCAATTTTTTTCAATAGTACCAATTTAGATTAGGCGAGTTTACTTGCCGCAAGTCTTTGTTTGCCGGAGAGAGGGGCAAGGGGAATAGAAATGGAAAAAATTGCTCGTACCAACAATTTTCTGGCAGTTCGTTTTGTGTATTTTGTTTGTAGTGTCATTTCAGAAAAAAATAATTAAATTCAGAAAATATATGTTTGCAACCGAATTGCCTTGTATAGACGCATGAAGCAAGTTCAAAAGAGAACGATAAAAATTGCCGCAAGTAAACTCGCCTAATATAAATCAGGACATATCTATTCCCATTGCCCCTCTCTCCTACCATGGTACAATTATAAAAGGTAACAGCAAATCCCAGCTGATTTGATTCCAACGTAATACTAGTGTCAATATGAATTTGACAAATTATGTTTTTAAAAATCACCCAACGGGAAATTGGGAACGCATACAATTTGAAATTGTTCTTTATTAATGTGCTCCCGTATTCAATTTACTCAATCTGCCTGCTGGGAAAGTTTGAGGAAGCAAATCTTTCTTGAAGGAATTACTCGCTATTCCCAGCATTGTCATATGTGTTACACATATATATGGCAATGGCTCAATTAAAGGAAAGATGTGGAAGCGATAGAAATATAAATTTGATAGATTTTCATTCATGTTTTTCAATTTTTATTTTGAGGATTCGAAAATATTCCATTTTCAAAATAAAAATAATTTGATGATAATTTGTTTGTTTGTTTGTTTACATTTTTCTGTCAAATGAGTTGACACTAGTAGAACTTACAACAACAAATTTCCATGTGGTTGTTGTATCGTTTTTGTACAACAACACTTGCTGTTACCTTTTATTATTATACCATGCTCTCCTACAAACAAAGACTTGCCGCAAGTAAACTCGCCTAATCTAAATTGGGACTTTTTTAATTCTTTTTGAAAGAATATTATTATATGTATGGAGAAATATGCACCTATTTTTAGACAATCTGTGATCTGATTTTAATTTAGTACTTTTGTATTTTTATAAGCTGAATTCTTTTGTTTAATAAAATGTTCTCCTTAAAACATGCTTTCTTAAAACAGGCTTTCCTACTTTCTGAGGATTTATTTGACAAATATATATATATATATATATATATATCCGGTACAATGCCACTGAACACGTGTTGTGTGTACATTTCAAAGGAGAATGTTTGCATTTAAAATTTGAAAGCTGAAAGCTGTCAAAAACATAGTACAATTATACAATTTAGTGTAGCTTTTGTCAAAAAGGAGAAAATACACCTCTACCTTATGGGAAATAATGTCAAAATAAATGAAAACAAATGCAACAAGTCGTTCTGTTCATTTGACATGTTTTTAACATTTTACCAAAAACGCGAAAAAATAATGGAATGTCGGGCTTTCTTTTCAAAAACGAATATGATTTATATATTGATTCATTCATAAATCATACATCTATTCTTACGAATATTGTAAAATACATTATCAAAAAAATCGATTTTCGAATATATTTTAGTTCCGTTCCAAAATCTAAAAGATTCTACTAATTTTACAAGTTTTCCAACTTTTTACTCAAAAGCCGTTCCTGAACCCTTCTATTAAAATGTTCAACCAAATTGAAGGGAAAACAAAACAAAATGGCTTTCTCTTTGTAAACTTTTTACTCGAGAAATTTGGCCGAGTAAAAATTGCAAACAGGAAGGCCTACTTCTGATTGGCTGTTGTGTTGATTTTGAAGTATTGCCATCTAATTTTGGCATTTTTACTAGTTTTCCGTTCCAGAACATTTCGTATGATTTTGAACTTTGAGAGCAATTTTGACATTTTTCCATTTTACTAGTTTTACTATGAAATAAATTGTTTTCATTTCAAATTGCAAACAAATAATTTTGGCTCAAATTATAAATTTTGTATGCTTACTAACAAACATCAGCTGATCGGCATTTAGATCATGATTAAAGGTATGTGTATACAATTAGGGTGTATTTCTGGATTTCGTCAATCGAGTCGATTTAAAATCGTATATTTAAATGTACTTTAACGTAACCACTACTCAATGGAATTGACGTTTGAAATCGAATTTATTTGACATATATACAATTGAATTGAAAATTAAACCCACTGGGTTACAGAAATCTGGTACAATGTAAACGTACTATTACTTTCTTTTACTATACCATGGTTTAACTTGGAAAAATTTTGTAATGTAAATGTCATTTAAAAATGAGATTATAAGTTACAATTGTTCTGTTCCTGTGTTGCAAGAATCTACTATTTTTTTCGGTATCATAAAGGAACAAATGTTATCGTGGTAAAAATTGTAGATTCTTAGAGTAGTAGATTTTTTCTAATATTCTATTATGCTAATACAGACCATGCTAATATGATAAAGGTCGCATTTTTGTTGTTTTAAATTATAGTTATAACCGCTATACATCTAAAAAATGTAAATTTTTTCCTGCTATTACTTGTAATTGTGTATGGTAAATTGAGGTCGATTTAACAATTAAATCGAGATAACTTATTTTAGCACGATAAAAGTGGTAGTATAAACGCGCCTTTGAGATAGAATCGATTTCAAGCAAATGCTTGACCTTAATCTAGTAGATTTCATTTGATACAATGAATTTGAAATCCAAACAATTTCATAAATCTAAACATACTTTAATCAAACCACAACTTATTAGCATTTTCAAATTTAGTCGCACTTCATGGGTTATATTTTATTTTTTGTCCTAACTACATCTCAAAGTATTTTATTATAGTTTGAAGATAAGTCAAATAAAATGTTTAATTGGTTTTGCAAATATGTATATAGTATTTGCTCCTATTTTAAAATGCCAAGATAAGATTGGGGAAATATAAAAACAAAAATGCGAATAATCTCAGCTGATTTAGTTTGAAAGAAACATTCGCTGTGCGAGTACATTGGAACAATACAAGTCAACATAATGGGAGATGTTAAGAATTACGTTGATGTCTTAGTTTACGGTTCGGCTATTGTCGATTTTATTTGGTAAGGATATATCCTCCGATTTTTAATTGGTATTTATATTAAATAACAATTTTTTAAAAGCTATGTAGATCGCTTGCCCAAAGCCGGAGAAACAATACGTGGTCATAAATTTGAAAATGGATTCGGTGGCAAAGGAGCTAATCAGTGTGTTGCTGCTGCTCGGCTGGGTTCGAAATGTGCACTAATTGCCAAAGTGGGTACAGATACATGGGGTGAAAAATACCTGGAGAACTTGCAAAAGGAAGGCGTGAATACACGTCACGTGAAAATGTGCGTGGGACAAAGTACTGGAATTGCCCAAATTGCTGTATCAAATGACGGCGAAAATAACATCATTATTGTAACGGGGGCAAATGATTGCCTTGAGGCAAGTGATGTAAAGGAAGCCGAATATTTGTTTGATTCAGCCAAAGTGTTATTGTGCCAGTTGGAGACATCTGCTGTGGGCACTCTAGAAGCTCTTAAAAGATTTAAAGGAACATCTGTACTTAATGCTGCTCCTGCCATGGCAAACACACCCAAGGAATTACTGCAAGCGGCCACGATTTTATGTGTCAATGAAACTGAAGCGGCTTTAATGACCCAAGCTGAGGACATAAAAACACTAGAGTAAGTAAACCTAAACAATTCAATGATTTTCGAATTTAATTTCCGTAATATCAGACAGGCAAAGCTAGCTGCCATGAAACTAATGGAAATGGGAGCATCTACTGTAATTATAACACTGGGATCTCAGGGCGCAGTTTACTGCGAAAAATCTGATCCAGAGAAATTCTATCATGTTCCAGGACAAAAGGTGGACAAAGTTGTGGATACCACAGGTGCAGGTGATGCTTTTCTAGGAGCCTTAGCCTATCATATGGCCAAATACCCGGGAAAACCATTGCACCAACACATTGGATATGCCAACTTACAGGCATCCTACTCGGTTCAGTTCCCCGGCACCCAATCAAGCTTTCCAAATGCCCAAAGTGCCTTGCCGACATGTCCAGAATTTCCCTATCAAAGCATTTAAATACAAAATCCAGCCATTTTATGTTCAAAGACAAAAATAAAACAAGTCAATTTGTGTAAAAAAATTAAATTAAAAAAACCTTAAATTTTATTGTTAACTTTTAATTTGGTCAATGATGAAGGTTCACAATAATTTAGCCGAACTACTTTTTGCCAGACTTTTTAATACCGCCTCCAACCAAGGGTCCTTTTTGTGCTGCCTTCTGCTTGGCAGCTTCCAAAGCCTTTTGGGCCTCCTTTTGTCTCTGCTTGAAAGCAATGTCATCTTCGTCCAATTCTTTGGAATCCTTTTTGGGTGCCTTCAAAGGCTTTTTCTTGCCACCCTCACGACCAGACATATTTGAAAATTAAGACTGGAACGTAAATTGTAAAAAAATGCATTTAATTTCACATAGCTTCTAGAAAAGTATGCACGTTTTTCACGCGACAAATATAGAATTTCACAGATATGCACGGCACCTACCTAATCACACGCACAGTCGACTTAACTCTGAACAAAAAGTGTATGTAGCAAACAAAACCATGATTGGAAAATTTAGTAGTGTCTAATAGTTGTGTAAATGTAATGCTGTAATGAAGACGTATGTCAAATGTCATATATTACAGATTGATGAAAAATGCACAGAAACTATGGTACAATAATTAAAGGTAGGACAATTTGAGGTAATTGGAAAAAAAGCTACTACAAAACCATGATTGGAAAATTTAGTAGCGTCTAATAGTTGTGTAAATGTAATGCTGTAATGAAGACGTATGGCAAATGTCATATATTACAGATTGAGGAAAAATGCACAGAAACTATGGTACAATAATTAAAGGTAGGACAATTTGAGGTGATTGGAAAAAAGCTACTATGTAGGTAGTGGAATCTTCTGTAATATATAAAGAAGACATACACAACATGTGGTTGTGTTTATTTGCACTTTTTTTAACTTGTAAATTAACATTTTTTCTTACTGTGGCTTGTTATGCCAAAGTCATAGGCAAAATGTGTGACTGTGTGTATAATTTTTTGCACATATATTAAAACGGCATTAGAGGTTTTTACCGGGTTAACCTAAACTATGAGGATTTATTTAAAATGCATAGAATGGAAATGACAATTGAAAGCCACTGGTTAAACGAAATCCGGTCAATGTATCTGTACTATAAAACTCCTTGTACATTAGAACTTTTTTACCGGGTTAACCTACTTTATTATTTGACATATATGCAAAGGAAATGACACTTGAAACCCACTGGGTTAACTTTTAAATGTAAACGAAAACTTTTTGGAAACTATAATGTTCTTGGTATAGTCACAACTTTTTATACTTATAATAACTTTTCTGACTAATATAAATTATCGCTATTATGCATTCTATATTATACAGTAGAATTTATATTATTAAAGGAATTTAAACTCATATATATATATATATATATATTTGGGGAAATAAAGAAGAGTTTAATATCAAATTCGAATAAAAGTTTGAGTTAAAATCTTATTTTTTGTTATAAAATTAATGGTAAAATTTTCTTCTTTTTGTAAACAAGTGTGAGTGTATGTCTTGACAGTCTTTTGAAATGATCTCAAAGCTAGGATTTCGAAAATCCACATCATATAAAATGCGTATTTAAATGAACTAAAAATTTTATACGTATACGCACTTTAACCCCTTACAAATGTCCTGGGGTGATGTAAATGCCAGTCATCGGATTATTGTTTATATATATTTCATATGCGTTGCTTTTGTGTGCGTTAAGTGGGCCACACACGTCAAACATGTGCGTTCGAGCGGTGTGAAGCTCCTAGCCCACACACGTCAAACGGATCCACAAAACTTCATTTATTATTTATTTTTGAAGCGTTAAGATGGACAGCTATAGTGATGATGGAAAAAAGACCAAATATTTTTATTTAACATAAATGTATTAAATATTTTTTTTTATTCCAGAAAAACATTTTTATTTTCCACACAGTAGAATATGTCTTGATTTAGATTAGGCGAGTTTACTTGCGGCAATTCTTATCGTTCTCTTTTGAACTTGCTTCATACGTCTATACAAGGCAATTCGGTTTCAAAAATTTTATTTTTATTTGTTTCAAATAGTTTTTTTCACATTTAAATAAATATAAAATGTCAAAAATACGAAATACACAAAACGAATTGCCAGAAAATTGTTGGTACGAGCAATTTTTTTCCATTTCTATTCCCCTTGCCCCTCTCTCCTACAAACAAAGACTTGCCGCAAGTAAACTCGCCTAATCTAAATCAAGACTATGTGTAAAAAACATCAAAAAACATCAAAAATTAAATTTTTTAATTTCTTTCGATCGGTGTTGCGCACCGGCAATTCGGTGTGAACACGCGATATTGTCTAAACAGTCATAAAATGAACTGTAAATTTCATTTGATCATAATAAATGCATTATTAGTAGTTTTCATTTTAAATTTCTTTTTTTTATTTCTATTATTCTATTTATTTCTATTTTTACTATAGAATTAAAAAAATATAAAGGATCAGAACTTAACGTCAACCACTCTCATGTAAACATTACAAACGCCGTTGTCGCCTACAACGCCGTTGAACATTCAAATGCGTTCCAAATTACAATTTGCAAACGACTTGACGCCGTTAATAATTTAGGCGACTTGATTCTCTGCCCCGTTCTCACACTTCGCGAATTTATATCGTAAAGTGAACACGCGTTTTTGTCAACGCCAAGTGGGAAATATTGGAAAATTCTTCAAAAGAAGTTTTTATTGTATAACTTTTGAAAGAAAAAACAAAAAGGTAATTGTTCAAATTATTTTCTCATTATTAAAATATGTTATTTAGTTTATTTTTGTATTTGAAAATGTGTATGTGTAAGGAGATGCAAAAGAATATGATTTATGAGTGTTACGTAAAATATAGGGGCCAATGTGTAAAAAGTTGAAATGTGAGGCAGAAAAAATGGAAATTTATGAATTTAATTTAGACAAGAAAATAGTTTTGTATTTCATATCGCATTTAATGAAAATTTTATGAAATGGTGGATGATTTTCCCCGGTGGATTTGTTTTTTTGTTCCATTTTACATTGAATGGGAGAAAAAATATTGAGTCACAAGGCAATATTACCCTGGCCGCAAATTCTACTTTCATAATCTAAAACCTAACCTAAAAATTTGCAAATACATATCCACTTTTTTCATTAACATCGTGCATGGCACTTATAAATGTGTGTGTGTATATGAAAAAAGTGGTTGTGTGTATGTGGCTTGGTGATCCACACCGCTGGTGATGATGACTACGTTGTTTGATGGTATTGGTTTTTGATGCCAAACCATCCATTGTCATCTCTTTCACAATAAAAGTGTGTGCCATTTTTTCTTTTTGAGTTTTTTTGTAAATAAATAAAAATTAAACTCTGTCATATACAATTTAAAGTAATCGTCAGTGGATTTGTTAGGATAGGGAAATTAAGGGGAGAGCTGCTGCACTCCCCATTTAAGTAGTGGAAAACTTTCAAGCTTTTTCATTGTACTCTTTATAATAGAGAGTGGGAAAATCTAACAAAATAATGAGATTACCGTCAGTTAACTCTCTTTGTAACTACTACGTTTACAGGCCACAATCTGTAACAGAAACCATTTTTTTACGAAAAAAATTCCCATTTGAAATATTGCTGAAAGCTTTTATACAAAGAATTCTAGTCATAAAATTGGTATTTCCCATATATTCTGAAATATTTTATGTTCTGAAATTGTCCATTAGCGAAATATGCCAATGACCTCTTAAGCCGGTTGTGTGCTTTGTTGTGTTAAAAGCAGAACCTAATTTAAATGCGTAACACAAGGTGTTTTCAGCCCTTGTGAGAGTTAACACATGTTTACACGTCAGATGCTAAATGTCATAAAAAATACTTGATTGTCAAACCTGACAAATTGTCTAGAAATTTGGATAGGTTTACACGTCATTGATTTATATGAAATACCAATTAATAAAATTGTCATATTTCTTATGTTATATTTACATCAATTATGCTTTATGATAAAACGTAATATGTCATTTCCTTTCTAAATATGTCAAATATATGATGATTGTTATAAAACAAATTGGAAATGCATCAACATTTTATAAAAAAATATATTACTTTTCTAAATATTCCATTGTTTACATACTGTTTTTTCATCCTCTTTCAAATCAACTAAAAATTTCAAGACCTTGTTTTTTTTTTTATAAAAGTTATTTTTAAAAATGTAAACAAACAACCTTGTAATAATGTGAGTGTTAAATCACTTTAATGTGTACAAACTGCATATGTTTGTGGTTTTATTTGCGCGTTTTGCCTTCAAGCAAAATTTCCCACGACTTTAACACCATTTCACTCTAATTAGAAACCATTTGGCAAAATGCCCAAATGCTGCTGCAACAAATTTAGCTGCACAATTATCTTGCATTTTGCATTGGAAAAACAAAAACACTGCGGAATTCACGTGTGAGGAAGGAGGGAGGTGTGGGCGAGAAGAATGAGTGAGTTTTCGGCATTCACACATTTTTTAGTGCGATAAACTTGAACTACTCTTTTTCGCAGTGATCTTCACACCGCTCAGCATTGCTTTTTTTGTGGTATTGAGATATATATTATTTTAATCTGGCCTTGTCTTTTTTGTTCTTCTATCGCCTTCAAGTTCATTGACTTTGACCATTTGTCCAAACACGTAACAGATTTTTGTGACGTAAATGGTTTTGCTACGTATACGTTTTTGACAGTAGCAGATTTTTTTTAATTTTATTGACAGTTGTTATGATTTCTCAAGCTAGATAATAAATGAGAAAAAATATTGAAAATTTTTAGGAATTGTATTGCGTATACGTAATCGATAAACGATTGCTGGATGACGTAAAAATATGTTTTTCTTCTTCTTCAACAAGAAAAGTATTTTTTTCTTTTGACATAAACAAGGAAAATAGATAAAATAATTAAATTGACAAACAAATGTTTTATCATAAAAGACATATGATGTAAATGTAGCGTTAGACTGCAGCATAGCATTTTTTGTAAAAAAATATATTCAATTTTAAGCTTTATGTTTGTCAATTGCTTAATTTTAGTTTAAATTACCTTAAAATACAAGATAGTTGTATAACAACAAAAAATTATAGCAGTTGAAATATTTTTTGAAAATAAACAAAAATCAGCTGACTGATTCCTGGATATCACTTAAATTGCAGTTTAAACTAGGCAATACAAATCGAGTCAATTAAAAAGGCGTTTCCCGATTTACAAATCGAACCAATTTATAGTACATATGTATGGTATTGGATTTAGTAAATCCAGGGGATTCAAAATGAGGTTTTTAAGTGGCCTTGGATGTTCTATTTAATGAAATAAACTGTCAATTCCATTGCATAAATGTCATAGAGGAGGTTTTTCAAGCAAAATTTTTCAAAAAAATAGATTTTGCACAAAATTTGTATTTTGGAAAATTTATCCAATAGATTTTTTTAAAATTTATTTTGAAATTTTTGTTATATAGATTATAATTTTTATTTCTTTATAATATTTTTTATCAGAAATTTTATAGTATTTATATATATATTATAAATTTTATTGTATTTTTTATTATTTTACCCATATATTTAATTTGCAAAAACTATTCGAACTTTGTAAAAAAAGATAATACAAAAATAGATTTTTTAGATTCCTGCATGTTTTTAAAAAGTAAAATTTTTCTTTTTTTTTTTTAATATGAAAATTAAGTATTAAATTTAATGATCATATTAATATATAAATCATTTGAATTTATTTTGTTCTATGTTCAATTTCAAAAATTTATTTTTTCAAGTATTTAAAAATATCTTTTATTTGTATAAAATTTTCTCACAAAAAAAGAAATAAGAAAATAAGGAATCCTTTTAACATAATTTTTTTTGGAAACTTAAGTACACGAGTCCAGACAAAATATTCTGGTTAACCTTGAGAATATGTCTACAAATAGATTGATTGATAACTTGTGCCCGCCACTATCTTATCACTTTAGTAGAAAATTCGAAGGAATTTGCGGTAATGTGTGAACGCAATTTATTTATGTTCTTTAATAAAGTACTTTAGCGCAGAAAGTTAACGTAATTATACTCATTAATGTTATGAAATGCCACTGCATAACAAATTTCCTACTATTTTGTTTCCCTACTTTTTTGTTTTTGTTGGTTTTCTCTTCAAAGGTTTGACGGGAAAAGCCAACATACAAAAACACCAGATGACTTATGTAAACGTCTGTGGTGTTGGCGTCAAATTTTTATGCTTGGAAACAGTGTTTAATTTTTTTTCCGTATGTTTGACGTCTGTAAATTATATACGCGCACGCACACCCCTCTTAATGGTGCTGTGTGTGTGAGTGCTTTTTTAACACTTTTGGCACATGATTCTATTATACTTTTTGGAGAAAAGCGACAGAGAGAGAGAGAACGAAAACTTTCCGTTAAAAATGTGGTGGAGAATCTTTTTTATTTGATTTTTATTTTTTTGTTGAAAAAAAAATTTGCTAAAATAAAAGCTTTTTTCCATCTGTTTCTCTGTCTTTTCTTCTTCTCTCTCTTTTTTTAAGTATTTTACTTTATCTCATAAGTATGGCTATGTCTGCTGCGTGTATTGATGATTATGCAATAATGACCATGAATTTTCATACCTTTGAACATGTGATATACAATTTGTTATCTTGGTGTTCTTTATAAAAAAGGAAGGGGGAAATAGATAAAACAAATACCCAAAATAAGGAAACCTGTCAAATCAGACATTTTAAAGATTTGCTTTGTTACGTCAACAAAGTTTTTGCTGTTGTTGCATTCTCTCTCTCCCTTGAGATTTTCCGTATTTCGCATTCTGTCATCTCTTATCTTCTATTTGTTTTGTTGCCTTTTTTCATGGCCATGAAAGCTCTCGTCGTTGCTCACTTTATCTTGTGTGCGCGTCTCTCTCTCTGTCGACATTGGCGTCGGCGCCAAACTTAATTTGGAGCGTTGGCGTTCTTGAGCTGTGTGTTACATTTCACTTGATATCTGAATAAAATTTTATTAACGTTTAAGTTGCCGTCCGGTGCAGACCTTTGGTTCGGATTTTTGGATTTTAATTTACCTCTGTGATAACCACAAAACAAATAGTACGTTAACAAGAAAAATAAGATAAATTATTTTATAATAATTTACAAGAAACTTAAATAATATACTAAATTATTTTTAAAATCAAAATAAAAACAAAATTAAATTAAATAATTGAAAAAGAGAAAAACAAATGAACATTGGATGGAAAACAAACCAAAAAGAAAATATAGTGTGTTGTGTGTGAATAAACAATGAATAAATAATTACAAAATTATTTTCTATTAAATTTGAATATTATGTCCATTACCAATAAATAAAAGGATTTCAAATTGGGTGCTTTGATTTTTGAATAAAAAAATATTTCACCCTATCCATTAATGAAGAAAAAGAATGAAAACCCGTTATGCAATCCTACCATTACTACACCCTCTTTTGACATTATGGGGTTGCCACATAGAGACTAATGAAAATAATTTAAAAAGTGTTTGAATTTGTGGATACATAACAAAACAAGAGTAATTTTTTAAACAAATGGGTTAAAAACAAAACATTTTTACAATTAAGTTTGGATCTTCGTTCTATCGTAGACGTGGTTTAATGACGTAACACCTGCACAGCTGAGATTGTTTTTTTTTTTTTTTTATAATAACGGCAACCTGCCTTCCTTGTAGAGTAAACTTTGAATTTTTTAACAAGATTTATTGGCTATACATATACTTTTTTCGTCTTCAATTGTAACTTGTGGTGTGTACACTCAGCTGTTTAAATTCTCTCATGCTGTTCTCTTATTATATAACGGCCAATGAATACTCAGAACACTTTGTGAAAAGTTCAAGTTTAATTAACTCTCTCTCTCTCTCGTTCATTAATTTGTATTTCTCTCGCGTTTTGGTGCAAACTTTTTTATCTAAAAATAAAGCCCCCATGATTCTGCTCTTGGCCAATTATTTAAATCTGTCAATGTTGTCTTTTTTTGATTTTCATGCGGACCATGAAAAAAAGAAAAGTCCAAACGTCACCATATGATTTGGTCGTGGTTGTCTAGCAACCCACACTCCCCTTTATGCTGCTGTCTACTATCAGCCTTGCAATGATTGTATAACATTTTCTTTTTCATTAACAAACTTTTGGCAAGCAAGCTCATGAACAAATTAAAAAGTAAAACATACAAATGTTTATTTTTTTAATATTATGCAATATGTTTGGTTAAAATAATATTCCTTAGTGCCAAATTGAAATTTCTTTGTATTTAGGAGGATTAGTATTCAAAAATTTGCGCCGCTTAGCAACAATATTATTTTATAATACTGATCTTTACTAAATGTGAGCTCTCTCTCTCACACACACACACACTACCCTAGCAAATTTTGCAAACCACGTGCTTTATTTTTTCCAGCCATCATATATAAACTTGTCTTTTGGGGTAAAGTACCAACGTTGTTGTTTGTGTACTTCTTTCACATGACAACTGTGACTGGTTCGGTCTTGTTCATGTTTCTTATGAAACTTGATAATCACCCAGCAGCACCAACAACAACGACGGCGGTTATAAATTAATGGCAGAATATATACCGTTTTTTTTAATGTGAATTTTTATACAACGCCGCCGGTCATTGATCTTTAATTTGTTAACTCTGAAGAGCTACTATTGACGTTTCATAAACATACTGCCACGTGTAGTGATTGCCGTCAACCAAAAACTCTTTACATTACCTGTCAAATTTGCCCCTTCCATATTTTTTTTTCTTTCTCACTCATTCGCTCTTCATGTTGGGGATGTCAAATTTTACATTTGATGAGTGTGAGACAATATAAATAATAAATCGATTTATTTATTGATGAACAAATAAGAAACAAAGTAAAATAATTAAAATTTGTTTTTAATAAATAATTAACAATATATGTGTAGTTAAAATGCTAGTTTAATATTATAGTGTGTTGTTTTCTCTAACCTGGAAATTTACATCCCTCAAGGCATCTCCAATAGTTCTCTCTCTCTCACACACACTCTTCATTTTGGGGGATGAGGCACAAGGAAAATAAATCGATATATTAATGAGAAAATAAGATATTATGGGGAATAATTAATAAAAAATATATTATTATTAACATTATTTGTGTAGTGAAATCGGTGATTAAATAATACCAAGGGTTTTCTACTACATTATTATAAATTAATAATGTCATAGAGGGATAGCAAAGAACCTGTATGACAAAGTGACATGGCAACACAGCAAATCATTTTTATATGTTACTAAAAATACTTTTTTATAATAATTAAAACATATAATTCTTGAAAAATTGCGTTCACAAAGAAATATAATAAAAGTGCTACTTAAATATCTTTACTGAGCCCGCTACGAATTCGTAGACTTCTATTATTGTAGATTTTTATAAAAGTTTTCCTTTAAAAATATAAAATATATATTTGACCTTTTTATGGTAACACACACACTATGTTTTTCTTTAGGTGCAATATAAACATGTCATGTTTTTAGAATGTCTAGTTCCCCCAATCTATTATAAATTGACAATAAAACACATTTTTTTCAACTTGTAAGTTGACTAACTTATTAAAATATTTCGATTTTTCTTTTCATTATAGCAAAATGGGTAAAGACGGTGTTGCTGATCCCCTTGGATTCCTTAAGGATTTCGCTGCTGGCGGTATCTCCGCTGCTGTCTCAAAGACTGCTGTAGCCCCAATTGAACGTGTCAAGTTGCTTTTGCAAGTACAACACATTTCCAAACAAATCAGCCCCGACAAGCAATACAAGGGTATGGTTGACTGCTTTGTCCGCATTCCAAAAGAACAAGGTTTTGCTTCATACTGGCGTGGTAACATGGCTAACGTTATCAGATATTTCCCAACCCAAGCTTTGAACTTTGCCTTCAAGGATAAGTACAAGCAAGTAAGTATCATCAATTATCACACACAAAAAGACAAAAATTTGCTAAAAAGAAACACACAATCAGTGAATTGGAACGAAAAAAATCGTTTCCATTTGAGATTGTGGGTTTTTGGAAGTAAAGAGCCGGAACGACTCTTGGAATTAATGTGGGCATTTGTTCTAATGTGTGAATATTTTTTATGTTTTACTCTAGGTTTTCTTGGGAGGTGTTGACAAGAACACCCAATTCTGGCGTTACTTCATGGGTAACTTGGCTTCCGGTGGTGCTGCTGGTGCCACTTCTCTCTGCTTTGTCTACCCCTTGGACTTTGCCCGTACTCGGTAAGTTGGAACTTTCATGGCATAAATCTCCATGCCTTAACCCAAACTCCAAACTCTTTACTAATTTTCCATATTTTTCTTTTATTTCCAACAGTTTGGCTGCTGATATCGGCAAGAGCAGCCAACGTGAATTCACCGGTCTTGGCAACTGCTTGGCTAAGATCTTCAAATCCGATGGTATTGTTGGTTTGTACCGTGGTTTCGGTGTATCCGTACAAGGTATCATCATCTACCGTGCTGCCTACTTCGGCTTCTACGATACTGCTCGCGGTATGTTGCCCGATCCTAAGAACACCCCCATCTACATCAGCTGGGCTATCGCTCAAGTTGTTACAACTGTTGCTGGTATTGTATCCTATCCATTCGATACTGTCCGTCGTCGTATGATGATGCAGTCTGGTCGCAAGGCTACCGAAATCATCTACAAGAACACATTGCACTGCTGGGCCACCATCGCCAAGCAAGAAGGTACCGGTGCCTTCTTCAAGGGTGCCTTCTCCAACATTCTCAGAGGTACTGGTGGTGCTTTCGTACTTGTCTTGTACGATGAAATCAAGAAATTCTTGTAAATTAATAATTCAATTACCAACTCTACCTACATCTACAGTTAATAAATATTTTAATTTAATATTAAATTTATTTAAATTTAAAAACAAACACAATCCCATTGTAATTTAATTGAATCAATTTTCGCTAAAAACAAGAATTTTTTGTTGGGTGTGAAACAACATCAAACCTCGAACACCCCCACACAACAAAAACACTCCCAACCAACAACAACACCCTCTTAAGCGTCATAGCGCGCTAGCTAACAGAATCATGCAAATTTATGTTGTAAGAACAAAACAAATACGTGTTCTAAATTTCGAGTAAACGACCGAAAGTATTGTTAAGTTCTTAAGTGTATCGAAAAAATAAGAAGAAATCAAATAATAAGACACATACAGACAGACACAACAAGTCGAAAGAAGTCTAAATCATATGATGAAACGATAAATTAATTGATGATAGCAAAGGACAGTTACAAACCAACCAACAACTACCAATACTTAGTATGTGTTCACACAGAAACAAACTAAGATTTAAAACAAACAAATAAAAAAAACTATAAAAATAGTAAAAAAAAGAAATTTCTTTTGTTATTTTTCAAATGGTGGGTTTAAGGGTGGAAAGTGGTGGGTGGAGTGAAATGATTGCGGGTGGACAATGTTCTGTGCCATGACAACCATCCGAATCATTTAATCCACGATAGAGGGGTTTACGATCCGAAACGAATCGAGTCTTGCTAGGCCATTCGTGTAAAAGCAATAGGGCTGCTACAACAGCAACAACTTAATGATAGGCATCCACACTCCAAATTTTTTCTTTAAAGAATCCACGTCTATGGCTGTGATAATTCTTGAGAAAAAAATATTTTTTTAAGAATCCACGCTTGTGGCTGTAATAATCCTTGAGAAAAACTAGTATTTAAAGAATCCACGCTAATGGATGTAAAAAATCCTTGAAAAAAATATTTTTTTAAATCCCATAAACGTGGCTAACCTTAAAAAATAAAAATTTCATGCCTATGGCTGTGATAATTTTTGAAAAAAAATCTTTAAAAAATCCTTTCCTATGGCTGTGATAATTTTTGAAAAAAAAAATCTTTAAAAAATCAATTCCTATGGCTGTGATAATTTTTGAAAAAAAAATCTTTAAAAAATCCATTCCTATGGCTGTGATAATTTTTGAAAAAAAAAAAATTCTTTAAAAAATCCACGCTATGGCTGTGATAATTTTTGAAAAAAAAATCTTTCAAAAATCCACGCCTATGGCTATGATAATCTTTGAAAAAATATTCTTTAAAAAATCCACTCATATGGCTGTGTTAACATTTGAAAAAAAAACTTTAAAAAATCCATGCCTATGGCTGTGATAATCTTTGGAAAAAATATTCTTTAAAAAATCCATGCCTGTGATAATCTTTGAAAAAATATTCTTTAAAAAAATCCATGCTATGGCTACGATAATCTTTGAAAAAATATTCTTTAAAAAATCCACGCATATGGCTGTGATAATCTTTGAAAAAATATTCTTTAAAAAAATCCATGTCTATGGCTATGATAATCTTTGAAAAAATATTCTTTAAAAAATCCACGCATATGGCTGTGATAATCTTTGAAATAATATTCTTTAAAAAATCCACGCCTATGGCTGTGATAATCTTTGAAAAAATTTTCTTTAACAAATCCACGCCTATGGCAAATTTTTATTTTTTATGATAAACCGATATATATATATAACCTGTATGTTAAACTAGGCATTTGTAATAAGGCTATATAGCTATAGAAATGCTGTATATGAATTCCTTTTTTAGAAAATTTATTAAAATGATTAAAAATGTACCTCTAATATGATATCATGTATTGACATACGCCAACATTTAATGTGCAATTTAACGCTACAATTACTCGCTGTGTCTCATTGATTACCCACAGCTGTCAAATAGAGAGAGTAATCGGTTACCAACAAAATACAACCGTGTATGTTGACTTTGCAAAAATTTCGTCTTGTCATTCGTAGAAATTGTTGAGAAGCGGCATAAAAAATATATATTTTAGGAGATTTATCGGCCATTGAAATAAATTCAAATAAAAATAACAATGACCGTCACAAAGCGGGTAAGTTGCAAAGCAAAGTGCAATAAATGTGAAAGAAAATATTCAAATTTAAATAAAATTCCAGATGGACATTGATGCTGTATGTAAGGGTGAAGGTTTTCGCTCGTACTACATACAAAAAATCGAGGAATTGCAATTGATTGTGGCCGAAAAGTCTCAAAATCTAAGACGTTTGCAGGCTCAACGTAATGAACTTAATGCCAAGGGTATGTACGAACGCATTTCACCGCATATAATCTAAACATTTAAATAATTTTGTATACTTTTCCATCCTATATCTAGTTCGCATGTTACGCGAGGAACTCCAGTTGCTGCAGGAGCAAGGCAGCTATGTCGGCGAAGTTGTCAAACCCATGGACAAGAAGAAGGTCTTGGTAAAGGTGCATCCAGAGGGAAAATTCGTGGTTGACATCGATAAGAACATTGACATCAATGATGTTACGCCCAATTGCCGTGTTGCTTTGCGCAATGAAAGCTATACTCTACACAAAATCCTGCCTAATAAAGTTGATCCTTTGGTATCGCTTATGATGGTTGAAAAAGTTCCCGATTCCACTTATGAAATGGTTGGTGGTTTGGATAAGCAAATTAAGGAAATCAAAGAAGTCATTGAGTTGCCCGTAAAACATCCTGAATTGTTTGATGCCCTGGGTATTGCCCAACCCAAGGGTGTATTGTTATATGGTCCACCTGGTACGGGAAAAACTTTACTTGCTCGTGCTGTTGCCCATCACACCGAATGTACATTTATTCGTGTATCCGGCTCTGAGTTGGTACAGAAATTCATTGGTGAAGGTTCCCGTATGGTTCGTGAACTTTTCGTTATGGCTCGTGAACATGCTCCCTCAATTATTTTCATGGATGAAATCGATTCAATTGGTTCGTCACGTATTGAATCCGGTTCGGGTGGTGATTCCGAGGTACAACGTACCATGTTGGAGTTGCTAAATCAATTGGATGGTTTTGAGGCCACGAAAAATATTAAAGTCATTATGGCCACTAATCGTATTGATATTTTGGATCCAGCTCTGCTACGTCCCGGTCGTATTGATCGTAAAATTGAATTCCCACCACCAAATGAGGAAGCTCGTCTGGATATTTTGAAAATTCATTCACGTAAGATGAACCTTACACGCGGTATTAATTTGCGTAAAATTGCCGAACTTATGCCTGGTGCATCTGGTGCTGAGGTTAAGGGTGTATGCACCGAGGCTGGTATGTATGCGCTGCGTGAACGACGTGTTCATGTGACACAAGAAGATTTTGAAATGGCCGTTGCCAAAGTAATGCAGAAAGACTCCGAAAAGAATATGTCGATTAAGAAATTATGGAAATAAGCTTATCTACTCAATCTATTATCTATATATGTACAATTAATAAATATAACAACAATATTTCATATTCTTAAAATTTAAGTTTGTATTTTTCCCTCGTTTGCTTTTAATTCGTAATAAAGAAGAAAATTATTTTTATGTTTAAATAAAAGCGTTGGGGTTTGTTCCAATTCGGATGCAATTTTTAAAAAAACTTTTTCTAGGATTAACTAATGCATAGGGACTTTGCAAATCGAGAGTGTGGAATTTTAAAGAATATTTTTTCAAAGTCATAGCTATTTGAATCACTATTAAACCTAAGAGAAATGATTTTAGAAAAGGAAGAAATTTTTTAGCAAGGAGTATTAGGCAATTGAAACAGAAAAATGCAAGATGTGTTCAAATTGTTTTCTGCACGGCTTAACGCCTGAAAGTATGCTCGTCATTTTGCAAACTAACATGGAAACACAAAGCGAACAATCTGGCAGCACCACTGCATTTTTTATCTTTTTGGGGTATTGCATTTTTTTTGGTTTTCCCATTTGCCGTACCAGGCAAACAGAATCGTGTAGCAGCTATATTTTGACCCATGGTCAATTTCAAGTGGTCATAACTCGGTGATGGGTGGAGTTATTTGAATGAAATTTTCACTATTGGTTAGAGGGAGTGATGTAGTCTTTATGTGTATAAAAAATTTAAGGGAAGTTCGGAAAGTTCTTAGCCTAGCACAAAAAGCGGGGTATAAACAGAAAAAAGTGAAGTTTTTTTGGGAAACTTCCATCTCTGTTATGGACACATGTTAAATTTTGTTTCGATCTCTCAACTTCTTTATATAGAAACAGGTGTTTCATAATATGGTATATGGTTTTATTTTCAAATGTTGACCAACTTTGGGCGGTATCAGAAGAGGTTGGCCAATATACCTCATCTTAGGATTTAATTTTGGTTTGTAAAAAATATTGCGATTTCAAAGTTCCGATCAAATCAGATATTCCTTTATCTTGATATTGGATTAACAACTGTTCCAAATGGGGGAAAGTATCTTCAAGCTGGATATATATAAGGTAAAAATATTACTATGTGCAAAGATAAAATTAAATATTCCCTTCCCTCCATATGAGTTTTACAAGTTTTCAAAATGTTGACTCTTTGTGGGGAGGGAGTGGATCAATAGGTCAACATCTGTCAACTTTAATTAAGTTTGAAATAAATATTAAGAGGCAGCTGATATCCAGCTGGTCTCCCTGGACGACCTTATTTATAGGCCTTCGTTTTGGGGGCCCACATAACGGTAGCTCCAAAAATTCGGTATTTTGGAGATTTTTGCCACGTTTTTCAACGGATTTCGATGTAATTTGGATTATGGGTTTTCATAGGGTAATACATATTCTCAAAAATAATTATCAATAATGGTCCCTTTTTTAGTATAGCCCCCCAAATAACGGTATATTAGGGAGTATTGGTATTTTAGGGAGTTTGGCACGTTTTCTTCAATCGAATAGGATGGGTTAATGTATATTCTCAATAATAATTATCAATATTGGTCCCCGCAGAATGGGGGGAACTCTTCATTGTATTGTTTAGGGAAATTTGGACCATAACCTCGAAATCCATGTGTTCGGAGTTTTTACGACACAAATTTGCTGTTCATTGTATTGTTTAAAGAAACTTGGACCATAACCTCAAAGTCTATGTGTTCGGAGTTTTTACGACACAAATTTAGATCATTAATATCACTAAGAATACTGAAGGGATAATAACTGATCAACGCAGAATTAGGGAACTTACCTCCAATTGGGATGTCAATGGAATGTATTATTGCCGTTGTTTTGGTTATTGACTGTGTTATCTCTCTCTAAACTCCAAAAGTATGAGAAGATCAAAACAATCGAGCATCTACATTGGAATAGATTTTGAAAGTTTCTACTCTGAACTATAATTTGTTTTCCTATATAAATATTTAACCCAGTTATCAAGGATGCATACTGGTGGCTTCCAGCAATTGAGATCTCCTTATCATAAGTCTATCTTTTCTTCCATATTTTTACCTTTACATTATAATAAAACCGAATTTTTTACATTATGTACTGATGTAGATCCATTATTTGTCCTATGGTCATTGTCCGATTGTAGTAGATTAGAAAATTTTGTGTCATTTTTTGTATAAATTGTTTTTTTTTATTTTCAGTTAAATATACAATAATTATATGTCTTATTTATTATTTATTATAAAAAAACTGCATTTAAAAAACATTTTGTGTTATCGGGGGGTTCTATTAAAAACTAAATTCTTGCTTAAGTTTAACTTAATACAGAAGAATGACTAGAAGTTTTAATATTTTCTTTTGTGTTTCGATTTTTTTTTTTGTTTCATGGAAACAAATGACTAGAGCGAAAACAGAACTGAATCTGAATTGATTAATTGATCTCGATGATCGATTGAGATCAACAATCTGCCAAAAAATAATTTTCGAAGTTTTGTGTTATATTTGAAATGCCCGATCATTTTGGGCACGACCAACCAAGGCCTCGTGCAGGCGGGTATAGAGTAGACTATCCGAAGGTATACCCTCTCTTTGTAAGAATAATATGGTTTCCTGGGCACACATGGCATAGCCCAAAGCTTCAGCTTCTTGATCAGACATGACCGGTTGTTGTTCGCCCTCGCCGTCATCATGATCATACGCATCAAAATCTTCTTCAAATTCATCCAATTCTCGTTGTAATTCCATCATTTTTGATTGTATAGCCTCGAGTAGCTGACGATTACGTTGATTATTTAAAATATCCTGATGTGTTGGCTCAATGCCATCTAGGTTCAATTGACGAATCTCCTCATCTTCAGGTTCTGGTGGAGGAGTATCACAACGTAGACGTTTACTTTGGTGCATGGATTGATCTATTCCGGAGTCCTGAGTTGAATTGTTTTCATTTCTTTGGAAATGGGGATTGGGACTTGATAATGATTCTCTTCGGTTACTTCCACTGGCCACATCTTCTCTATTCGCTTCTAATCCTATAGATTGTGGCTCTGCGGCTTGTTGTTTATCCAATTTCCGTTTCATGATAAGTTTTCCCGACATTTTACGAAAGGCAATGTATTTTTATTCCGTGTATTATAAGTTTATTATTTTAATTTATTTATCCTTGGAGTGATGTTGTGTTCCGGAGCACATCCAAAAACCGACTGACTTACTTTGCCCTGTCTGGCAAGAGATAACTTGTGCCCTAACTTTTTTTTTGGTTCGTTATACCCATTAACCCTAACTGGCTGCAGCAACAGAGTCGGCATGGAAATATAAGGGTAAACTACTAACATCCCCTGCATACATCTTCCTCAAAAAATATTTGGGTGTTGTTGTTATTGTTGGTAGAGATAGAGGATATGAAAGACAAAAAAAAAATTAACAGCTGAGACAGATGTTTGTATTTATGTCAGCGCCAGCAGAACCTTGCTACACTCTGGCTAGCGAGAGCATCGATGAGGACGACAGTTGGACTGAAGCGCAGCAGCAGCACAAAACACAAAGTGGTTCAATCAAATTGTGTGCCGGTGTTGCAACACAGTGGTGGATGATTCTTCCCTAAAACATCCCCCGTAGTAAGGGACGTGCGTTGATCGTTACAACAAAAACAACACTATGCACAGACACACACACACTTCATATCATACATATATTTACTGCCGGTTATCTCACTTTGCTGGTAGCCGGCATTAATATAGCAGCTGTTTGCTTCATGCAACATTCTGCGGAAATAAACGCTACACCTATCTTTTGAATGCAAGCAAACAAGTTTCAATTTTCCCTGTCCCTCCTGCATGGTTCATTGAGAATAGGTGTTTTTTTTTGGTTTGTTTTGAGATGAGTGGGGAATAAAGTTCAGCGATTAGTTGAATATAAGAAATTAAAAAAATTAGATAATGGAATTATGCTTTTTGTAATTATGGACCACTTGTTGTAATATTTGTTTCTCTAAAATTTTCAAATCTCTTAAGAAGCGAGATTTTTTAAAAATAGATATTTTTCTAAGGCAACAATAATTGTGATTTTTGAAGTTTTCATTAGAAGACACTGTTAACTTGGATATCTAATTTTGGTCCACAAGATGCGTGGATTTTAAGAATCTTTTGGAAATCTACCGATGTGATTTAAAACAATCATCGACTTTCGATATTATAATATCCCAATTGTTTATCTTGAGGGTCATAGGAGAATATCGGTAAATGCTATTTTAAAATACTGTGCTACGGTTGGAATCGCTCCTTATAACAGGAGCTCTCGGAAGTAAACCTCAAGCTCTCTAAATATAATCCCAACATTTCCAGTCATTCGATCTTTTAGTTAGATTCCTAGCAGACTGAGGAGTCTGTTGAACTACTCATTGGCAAAATTCGCAAGATTTCCTAGAAGAAGGCAATTATTGTATTGTTTAAGGAAAATTGGAACATAGCCTAAAAATCCATCCATGTGTTCGGAATTTTTACGACACAAATTGATGTAAATTTAATATCAATACTGTAAGGATCATAACTGATCAATGCAGAATTACGTCACTTACATCCAACTGGGATTTCAATGGAGTGTATTATTGCTGTTTATCGAAGGATAAAGAGTTAGAGACGATGAAACATCAAAAGATACAGGGGCCAAGTGCTTCGTACCAGAAGACATCAATTAGGCTATGATATAACATCTAAATTATCTACTCTTCTATTTCAGATACTCACAATGTACCAAAGATATACGAGTGCAAAAACCTACTAATAAATTAGGTTATAGAATGACATCAAAATCCTTCTTCTCCGTAATAGATGCTTTCAAAATTCATAGCTTTGCCAAAAATACATTTACTCTCTTTTTTAGATACTTTCGATAATATCATGGGGCAATTGTCACCGAGCAAAAACAAATCTACCAGTAAATTTGGTTATAGGATAACCTAAACAAGGCAGGCATTAGATGGTCTGAGGAACTTGGGAACCTAGAAGTGTTGGTGATGATCGAAAATCAACTATGCAGATACCAAATGCTTCGTAGCAGAAGATATCAAGTATTCCACAGATACGATATTGATACTCTAAACCTCTTGTCCGGGGGAGATCCTAATTGCTCGAGAGCTATAAAAGATAGTGCAGTGAACAGGGTAAGAAAGGTGTACGATTATTTTGACTCATTGCTAATTCACCAGATTGATGAGCTTCCAAAAAATGCAGACAAAGTTGCGTCGGAAACATGAAAAGATGAAAAGTTGGAAAAATCCGACAATGGTACTTGTTTTGTTTCAGCCGAGTTTAAAGAACCCAAGCCTGTATCCATGCAGTGCTAGTGTGAACATACGGCCCAGCCTAAAAATTGATCCTGTCGATTATCCTGATAAGAAAAAAGGATACAAATCAAATTTTTGAATTCAGCGAGACGCTGAAAGTTTCGTCCCACAATTCGAAAAAATAATTACAGCACTATTCGGGTTAATCGAACATTTTAATGATGTATTCATGACCACTTTTAGTTCTATCTGATCAGGTCTTAGATAAATGTAAGCATTTCCGTCTCATACTACCAACAAGTATTATATTTCTCAATACATACATAAGGGACATGTTTATTGTTACAAGGAGTGTCGTATAGTTTCACATCCAAATACAATTTATTTTACTTAAAACCCTATATTCATATCACGTGTAGCTTACAATATAGTCGCTTAATGACACCGCAAGTTAATGTTTCTTTAACAGTTCGGACAATTAACAACAACAGCAGCAGCACGCAAGCTACCTTCCTTTTTCCGTTCCGTTTTGTTTTCTTGCATGTGGTTGTTGTTGTTTTTGATATTTCTTCCTTTTATGTACTATTATCATTTATCGTCATTATCAAACAAAAAATAAAATGCCACGCGACCAACTGCACATGGGCTAAAGCTTTATATGATGTTCAACCCCTAAGAACAATCAAATCAAATATATGATTATCATATATATGGGCATATTCTATGTACACAACATGAACATATACATATGTATGTAGCTAGGTAAATTTTTGATTTTGGAAGATCACTTTTTTTAAATTGTATTTTATATTGAACATTTAATTATTGATGGTGGTGGTGTGTGCTATGTGCACAATCCTCCCAACCCCCGTCCAACAGATGTTTAAGTGAATAATGTACATAATTTGTCCGATCGTAGAGGGGGTTTTCAAGATGATATTTTTATTTAGCCTGACTGACTGTTTTTTTTTAGTATCTTGTTGTGAACTTGGTTTTGCTCCCCCTCTTTTGTGTTTTTCTTGTTTGAGTGGCTGCTTTTTTCTACTTCCTCTTGCAGATGCATTTCAATTTAGCCCGACATCCTCTTTCCACGAGTGAGCGCATGGAGTTTTAACAAAAGTTTTGCTAAGAAGTCAAACACACAGTCTAACATACTACGGAGATAATTGATGTAGCATTTCCAATGGGATGCGAGGCAAGTTTTAAATGTAGAATATCTGGATTTCCTATTATCATTATATTACAACAAAAATAAAGACTGTCTGGGTCACTTTAAATCCATACAAATCCAATAAAACTTCTTTGAAACATAGAAAATTGAGCTTGTTCAGCTCCATGAGATTTTTCCGAAAGCTGTGTATTGAAATTTAACTTCCGATTCTGTAGATATAGTTCCCATATATAGTTTCCTCCAATTTTATGTAAGTGGTGCACCAAACTCCCAATATTCGTCCGATTGAGACAAAATTTAGCACAGAGTACTGAATAAGGTCTACATTGATATATGGCAAGTTATGTGGAAATCGGTTCATATTTAGATATAGCTCCCATATATAGTTTCGTCCGATTTTATGTAAATAAAGCACAATAATGCCAATATTGGTCCTATTGAGACAACATTTTGCGCATAGTACTGAATTAGGTCCAGATTGATGTATGCGATTTTTTGTGGAAATCGGTTCAGATTTAGATAAAGCTAAAAAAAGTTAAATTAAAGCCGATTGGCACAAAATTTAGCACAGAGTACTGAATTAGGTCTATATTGATAGAAGCCAAGTTTTGTTGAAATCGTTTCAGATTTAGATATAGCTCTCATATATATTTTCGCCCGATTTTATGTAAATGGCGCACCCGATAGTCTTTGTTTGTTCTGTATACATGAAATTTAGCAGAGGGTTAGGATGCTTTTTGTTAAGTTTGAAATGGTTGAGATATGTCTATTCTATCTAAAGGATATTGTACATATGAGCATCTCTTATATGTACCCAAAGTGGTGAAGGAAATTATATAGTCGGCCCCGTCCGACTTTTGTCATTTTCGTACTGGTTTAACTTCACATAATGGCTATAATCTACTTCATTCACATTCCTGCAGTATGTTTAACCTTTTTCTTCATTGGTGACAACAATGAGGTAGATCTCCAGCCAGATAGACTTTGAGGTTATGCATACAGGTTCTTCGAACCCTCTAATGCACTTGTTGGATAATTTTTCACTGTTCCTCATCGTCATATAACGGCTATAATCCACTCGATTGACATTCCCTGCAGTATGTTTCCTTAGTGATATGATAGTGAGGTAGATCTCTGGTAATATGGACGTTGATGTTCTTAGGGGCCGCCTGGCTGTCTACGTCTATTTTTGCTATTTGTTCAAGTTCTTTAACCGTAATCTATGTCTGATGAAGGTTGCAATGTCCATGGATAAGGATATGATGTTGATGCATTTCCAATAGAGTTCTAGTCATAGAAAGAACCACTTAGACGAGCATTTTAAAGTCGTCCGCGCTAGCCACTGCCATTTGCGACCAGCGACTTGAGGACCATTTCCCCTCTTCTCAGCTTATCACAAATCGCAGTGGCCTGCGGGGTTTGGGAATGTAAGGGATACACAGTGGGAACCTGCCACAATTTACACCACAGCCTTGGAACATAATTACCGGAACCATAGGTTAATACGAAACGAAAGTGTTACAACATAGCTGGATGGGTTTTCTGACCATCCAGGTATGGGCTATTTATTAAAAGTCTAATTTTAATAACTATTAAACGGCGAATGTTTCAAAGATTATTTTTTTCCTCATCTAACAAAAAAGATTTGAAGCTGCCATTGTCATTCACCATCCAAATATAAACTATGTTAAAATTTCCATTAGTATTTGATTTTATTATTAAAATAAATTAGCAAAAATACTTCTCCGTTTTTTTATATTCTCTATATATGGAATAATGATAACATTTTTTTTAACATAGACATTGATGAATTATTGCAATAATGACAGTACCGAGGAATCTGCGACATCTATACACGATTTACCATCAGCATCCAAGGCCATTCTATCAGCACCATATTGTAATAGTAATCGTACGCATTCCGCATGACCACATGAGGCAGCATAATGTAATGCAGTTTGTTGATCTTCAGCGTCGCGTAAATCTACTGGACAGCCGGAAGATAAAAGTAGTGATAGTATTGAAATATCATTGGCGTCTGTTGCCCAATGTATAAGACCCAAACCGCTATCGTCTAATTGTTCTAAATCACTCTTTCGAAGTAGTTCTTCTACTTTTTGAAAATTACGATCTTTAACAAAATCAAATATGGTTTTTTCTTCGTCGGGTTTGTTGTCTTCACTGTCGGTGGGTGGCATTTCTACGGAATGTACAACCCAACCAGTACCGCCGCCACCACTGATCTTATTATTCTCTCCCTTTTGCACTGCATCATACCATTGTGGAAAAAGTTCTTTTACCTTTTCCACATAACGTTGTTTGGCCTCTTCCGAGGACATTGAACCCAATTCTTGCCATGCTGACCATTTGGCACGGGCTTGCATACTAAACATGCCTGGTTTGGTGGTGTTACATGATCCCACAGTGGCCTGTTTGAAAAGTCCATATAATTGCAACAAATCGCTGGGCACTATTTTGTCATGGGTCTTTTGTACTTGTTGTGTGGCCTTGGTAAAGAGAATATCTTTTTCATCTTCCGCTTCATCAAATTCCCAATCACTGTCTGTTTGTGAGTCCATGTCCATGCTGATGCGGTGGTTTTTGCTAATTTATTTTATTGTTATCGGTTCTTATTTTATGTTTAATCTTATGAGGCTAATTTTTTTGGGTCGTGGGGATGTTTCTGTTCTTATGTTTTTTGGATGTTCAAATAGTGGCCTTCCAGCGTATGTTTTTGCTCGTTTTCAATTGCTTGCACCGCTTTAAGACTGTTTACAGTGACAAATCCATAACCTCGTGATAGACCGGTCTTTTTATCGAACACTACATTGGCATTGATGACACGGCCAAATTCCTTAAAGTATCCCTTCAGCTGTTGATGACTGACTGTCCACGGCAAATTACCCACAAATAATCTGTAAACGCTTTTTGTTGCCTTTGTTGCTGTGGCCATTTGGGGAAATTTATGTGCTGTTTGGGCTGTCAAATGAAATGCTGTAAAAACAGGTTTTGTTTAGATTTTCCTTTTATAAATTTACGAAAATTTGAATCGAAATTACCTATTGCGTAAAGGTCTGGAAACCAGAGAAAGATGTTTTTTATGTTTGTAAAAATTGTCTATCGCATATGGGCGATATACTTCGTTACCCCCAGTTCGCCGTAAAATTGAGGTTAGAGCACAAATTTACAGCTGTCAAGAGAACAGCTGTGTGATGATTGCTAGAACTTTGTGTAGATGGCAGAGTAACACTCAGACTCCTACGTAACGTATAGGAAACGTAATACAACGTAGTGTTTTTAAAAATATATATCTAGGGTCGGGGAAGGGTTCTAAAAATTGGCATAAAATATTAAATACACTTTTAACTGTCAAATTATTTGGTTTCGTTGTTAAAAATAAATGTCCTATATTATTGTATTATTATTTTTTAATTATAATTCTAGATTATGTACGAACTAAGTTCATCACCGAATTGTTTGTTGCTTCTTCAGATTCATTTGATCTATTATACGGGGAATTATCTTTTCGTGAGTTATACAAATTATCCAATGCCGTGATCATTGATCCTTGATTAATCATATAATCCAAAATATTTAGGCGTTCACGATTCTTCTCCATTGTTCCAAATAGATGAGAGTATGAAACATTTTTAATTGGTAAATAATATTTTAATATATTACCATTTCGTTTTCTGAAAAAAATATAACATATAAATAAAAAGAAAACCTTTTTGAAAATGTTTGAATTAGGATATTAGTACTACACGAGGAACGGAAGGCAACTTTTGCATTTACTCTCTGAAGCAGTGGACGCTATAAACACGATGAACTAGGGAGTCTCAACAGACAGAGATGAAGCGGGGGGCCTTTATACATTAGCTGAAGACAGGGAGATGGGTTAATACCGGAGGTCTGAGAAGAAGATCTGAAGTAGAGAGACTCAATAGAAGTGCTGAAGCAGGCAGTTTCTACAGACGAGTTAAAATATCAATTTTTTATAAACGATCTGAAGCAGGGAATTTCTAGAGACAAGCTAAAACGGCAAGTCTCTATAAACGATCTGAAGCAAGGAATCTCTTTATAGACGAACTGAAGCAGTATGAAGCATAGAGTATCTATAGACGAGCTGAAGGCAGTGGTTTCTATAGACGAGCTGTAGGGAGTCTCTAAAGATGCGCCGATTTCAAGGGTCTCTATATATAAGATGAATCTGGGATCCTCTATAGATTAGCTAAAGCAGGAAGTGTCTATATAGATGATTTTAAGCAGAGATATCTTTATAGACGAGCGGAAACGGGGAGTATCGTAAAACTAAGACCAAGAAGACATACAAACAGGGATTTTTATTAAATATATTATGAAGGAATATCCGGCCCATATGCGAGGATTTTTAAACAATATTTGTATCAAGGAATAACAAATCCATAAGCATGTATTTTAAAAAATAATTTATCAAGGTCTAACGGAGTCTTGCATGTGAACGTTTAAAGAATATTTTCTCAAAATCTATCAGAGCCAAAAGCGTGTATTTTTAAAGAATATTTTAACAAGGACTAAAAGAGCCATCAAACTGACCTATAAGCATGGATATTTAAAGAAATTAAAACAGGGACTAATATAGACATCAAACGGACCTATAAGCGAGGATTTTTAGAGAATGTTTTAAGGTCTATCAGTGCCATAAGTGTGAATTTTTAAATAATATTTTATAAAGAACTATCAGAGCCATAAGCGTGAATTTTTAAAGAGCATTTTAACAAGGACTAGCAGATCCATCAGACGGAGTTACAAGCCATAACAGAGCCATCATACGGATCTATTAGCGTGGATTTTCAAAGAATATTTTATCAGGGACTAACACAGCCATCCGACGAATCTATTATGGTGGATGTTTTTAAGATTACTTTTGTAGACATCTCATATTATACTTACATAAGTTCAGATTCCATGTTAAGAAATGATATAAACCTCTGTAGATTTTCTATATCCATTTCTAAACTTTAGGGTTATATAGAATTAAAAAAAATAAAATTAATTTAAAAATTAAATTTAGTTTTCTTACTTCTTTTCAATTTCATCTAAAGTCATTCCATCCATTTTCAATTTGATTTCCATATAAAAACCACGATTATATTTTTGCCTCAAATCTTGTGGACTACCCATTGCCAACATTTCCCCATTATGCAAAACAATAATATAATCTGCCAACTGTTCCAGTTCCATGGATTCTTGTGATGTGAATAGTATCGTATTACCATTTTCACGTAACTTCTTCATAATGTACCATAGCAAGTGTCGTTCGGAGGCATCTAAGCCTTTTGTGGGTTCATCGAATATAAGTAACTGATTATGCAAGATTAGAGCAATGGCAAAACTTAGACGACGTCGAATATGTTTTGGCAATTCACTGATTCGAATATTCATATAATTCCGTAGTCGGAATACTCTTGTGAGACTTCTTATTGTTTCATTAAATTTTGACTTTGGTACTTCCGCTGCGCGTAGCATGAAGAATAACTTCAATATTTGTTGTGGTGTAGCTCCTTCGAATGGGGTTTCGCTTTGTGGAATGTAGCCAATATTTGTTAGGGCTTTTTGTGTGGCATTCTTGATTTCATTGCCACAGATGTAGACTTCACCAAAACTGAAACCTTCTTCACCAATTAATTGTCGAATTAGGTGGGATTTACCACTTTTCGAGCAGCCAAAAATTCCCACGCAGTCGTGACTGAATGAGAAGGGGGGATATATAAATACAAACAGTGAATAGTAGCAAACATTATTTTCTAGAAGACTTGGCTCCTTAAAAAATTCCTCAACATTTCGCCTCTTTCTTACCTTTTGAGAGCCAAGGATATGACATTTACATTGTCTCCTTCTTTGGGTATTTCATATTCCAATTGATCTATCAGAAGTGTATGTTGCTTGCACTCCTCCAAATTCATATTTGATATACGTACTTTTTCCTCAATTACCCGATCATCATCGTGGGGATAACACATAGATTTCAGTTGTTTAATACTAAAAGAGAAAATTTCAATTTAATATGAAATAATAAATTCAGATTGTATTACTTACGTATCTGGTGGAGAATATAACTTCTTTTTTCGATATCGAATTAATGCAATAAAACTTCTGAATAGTAGGAGAGATGTAAGCGACATAAATATAACAGATGGTAAAATGCCAGGAAAGGACCAATCGAAAAAGGAAATATCTAGAGAAATGGAAAAATTATATATCAAGATTATATTTTAAATTAAAGCATAGATTTTTAATAATTTACAGAGGACAATTAGAAAAAAAGTCCATAAGACCGAAAATCATAGAGCATGAAGTCTGTATGGTCGAGCTGAAGAAGGGATCCTCTACAAACTATTTGAATCGAGAATTGTATATAGACCAGTTGAAGCAGAGAACAATAATAGACGAGCTGATGAAGGCAGCCTATACAGATGAGTCGAAGTCGGGAATCTTTATAGTTGAGACGAAGCCAGAAGACCCTACGCATGATTTGAAATTCGTGTAAGGCAGGCATTCTTTATAGAATGATTGAATCAGGTAGTCTGTATAGGTCAGCTGAATGCAGAATTCTCTACAGATGAGTTGAAGCAGGGCGTCACCACAGACGATCTGGAGCAGGGATCCTCCATAGACTTCCAGGAAGAGGTCTATAGAGAAAAACAGAAGCAGGGAATCTCTATAGACGAGTCTCCATAGCTGAGACGAAGGCAGAAGTTCGAATAGATGAGAGGAAGCAGAGAGCGTGAATATAGACGAACTAAAGCAGAAAATCTCTGAATCTCGAGCTGAAGCAGGAAGTCTCTATAGACGAACTGAGGCAGGAAGTCTCTATAGACGAACTGAGGCAGGGAGTCTCTATAGACGAACTGAGGCAGGAAGTATCTATAGACGAACTGCGACAGGGAGCAGAGAGCCTCAATAGACTTTCTGAAGCCGGGAATCTTAAAAGACGAGCTGAAGCAGGAAATCTCAATAAACGAACTGAAGCAGGGAGTCTCTATGGAGGAGGAGTAGCTGAAGCAGAGAGTCTTTATAGACGAGTTGAAGTGTAGAGTCTCTAAAGACTGAATCATATAGTCTCTATGGATAAGCTGAAAGCAGAAAGAATAGAAAAAAACAAAGAATTTTTTTTTTGTAATTTGGATTTTCAGGAGGGCGTAAAATATATTTTGAGATAAATGTCGATATAGATCAATGTTTTTGTCCTGTCCCATTTTTGGAATTTTTCGGTTTTATTCTCACTTTTTTTTTTTTTTTTTATTATTTTGGTTGGCCCACTTTCTATAGGGATAGAAGGTTTAGTGCCATGTATCCGTATGTAGCTTTGCTACGAATTTGACTTTATCCATAGATGGTGGTTTGTGTTTTGCAGGTTGACTTCGATCTTCTTTAAGAATTTGACCACAATGTTCAGACTTTCTAAGCCTTGTGTATCAGTGAACTCTTCTACTGTGAAGGAGTCACATAGTAGCGAAAAGCATCTTCTTTTGCTATTAAATTTACGAAAATTAAAAATTTCATGCGCAGCTGTTTGGATTTTGTTGAACGACTCGTAATTTATAGGTTATCCGTATTTAAAAACACACGTGTTAGTTAAGCGAACGCCTAACAACCGCCATTTTGCAAAAATCTATTTTTAAGCCCGTGGGCGTGTAGTACTCATTTAAAATTTTTTTTACGTCTTTCTTGTGAGCCGTCCGAGGACGAACTGTATTCTCACTTTCCAATAAAAGAGAGAATGTAAAAAAATGGCTTAGTCGAAGTACACATCAATATCAGGATCTATTAATGAGGTCACACACAAGGCCTATAAATAAGGTCGTCCAGGGAGACCAGCTGAATATCGGCTGCCTCTTAAGTTTGCTGTCAATCCATTATTGTGAATTAATTTCATCAGCTGCGCTAAATGGATTACCTATTTATTGTGCCAAGATCCAGCTGGTCTCCCTGGATGACCTTCTTAATATACCATGGTCCACACGCATGTGATTTCATGAAACAAATTACACGAAATTATGAGTTCTTAGATCGAGTTTCTCAGTTTTAAAATTTCTTTAGTGGGTACTCGATCTAAGGACGCCCACTTTCATGTTTAATACAAGGACTATTATTAAGGTCATTCAGCTTTATTTTGAATTGAATTCCATTAAGAAAACCTAAACATAAATTACAATGTCTAATAATAAGGTCATCCAGAGAGACCAGTTGCCTCTGAATTTTGCTGTCAAATTGCTTTATATTGAATGGACTTTCATTACGAAAACCAAAACAAAGTCCAAATTTTTGACATTAGACTTAAGAATAAACAGCTGAATTTTGCTGTCAAATTGCTTTATTTTGATTGGACTTTCATTATGAAAACCAAAACAAAGTCCAAATTTTTGACATTAGACTTAAGAATAAACAGCTGACCTTCTCTACCTGGCTGACCTTATTAATAGATCTTGGTAAAATATTTCAAAATACTTTAGTGTGTGATGAGGGACTTACTACAACACTGCGAAACAAATGAGCATCCATTCAGTTCTGGTTCACAACCCTCAATTCTGGAGCAAGCCTTCAGACAAAAGTCGCGTACTTTACATTCGGTCTCCAGATTAGCGAGGCCAATGAGAACAGCAAAACTGGGCGAAAACATTAAAATATAATACGAAAATGGTTTCGCATCAATATGGTCCCAATAGAACAGATATGAAACAAAACCTAGAAATAGGATAATAAAATTAAAATCGAATAAAATATTTAAAATGTAAAATCTTACCCAATATCATTTGTATTAGAAATATTTTTAAAAATCCTTGAAACTCATTATCCCTTAACCACAAGAATAGAAGATAGGCCATCGGTAATGATGCTATGCCATATAACATCAGAAGAAGATATTGAACTGAAACAATTTTGGTATTAGTTTTCAAACTAAAATTAGATTTATAAAAAATATACCTAAAATTCCCATTCCATTAGGTCCATCGGGAATATAAATATTTATTGCTAGAATATATAGAAGAATTATCAGCTCATAGATTGCATAATCCCATAAGAAATTGCTAAGCCATAAATAGGTATCGCTCAGGCCCGCAAGACGCTGTAATGTTAACATTTTTGTTTCCCTATCATTGATAAGGGCGACAATGAAACTGGAAATGGTTAGTGGAAGTATAATACCCCAAATAATGGAGCTATGTATGTTGTGGATGTGTTGAAGGGCAAATTTTTCGCGCATTGGTTCCCAAATCGGTTCGTTATTGATCAGCACTTTTTTGTGGATTTCGTTTGGATAAAGATTTCTAATGAAACATAGAAAAATAATTAAGTCGATTCCTAAGGTAAATAGAATCTTGAATTATATTTACCTCAGTATAACATTGTGTGCCAAATTTAATACCAATGCTGGACCATGGAAAACTTCTTCATTTAGCCACAATGTCAAATGATTTGCATCGTCTTTTTCAACAGCTCCAAATTGTCCATTCGCGGATATATCTTTGCGATACTCACTCTCACCACATTTTAAATTCTTCACAAACCACTTTTGAGGTTTCCAATTGGATTTTAATGTATTCCGGTTCTCTATCTCAACTATTTCAAAGTATTTACAATTTTTCCAATTCTTCTGAGAATCCAAATTCGTGCTCAAGCCCATTTCTATGCGATGTAATGATTTAAAATTTGCAAACATTTTCGGAATGCCGGCTATCAAGAGCAGTGTAAGAAATATCACAAATACTGGAACAATATTTGACGCTTGATATAATAACTTCTTATAGAACAAAGTTTTCATTAGGGATATTTTAGAATGCGGTTGTATTGGAAATTTGCTTGGGAGTGATAAGGTTTTGTAGGAGTTTTTATTGACTTTGCTTTGGATGAGTCCAGTTAGTTCCATATAAATATCATTCAAATCATAACCGGTCACATACATACTGGAGATTCCAAAATTTGAGCTTTCTCTTTCCAATTCCATGAGTAATTTTTGATATAATCGTATTTTTTGTCGTGGAAGAATATAAACGATGCGATCTTTGAATTGTGCATGCACAGTAATGTTGGGTATATATGTCTCCAATAGTTTTGTTATGGGTTTCACGGATACGTCTGGTTTTAGGAGTAGGACCTGAAAAAAGAGAGAAATTTTTCATGAGCATTCGGTAAAATAAAAGACTTGGCTAGAAGTCAATGATTTGACATGAAATCAATGACTTCACTCGAAGTCAATGATTTACTCAAAGCCAATGACTTGACTTATAATCAATTACATGACATACGTCAAGAGTGTGACTAGAAGTCAATAGCTTGACCAGAAGTCAAAGGATGGACTGGAAATCAAGGGCTTGATTTAAAGTCAACGACCTAATTATGGGGCAATGGCTTCACTAGAAATCAATGACTTTGCAAGAAGTCTTTGACTTGACTACAAATCAATAACTTTACAAGAAGTCAGTGACTTAATTAGAAGTCAATGACTTGACTAGAAGTCAATGACTTGAGTAAAAATCAACGGCTTGATTAAAGTTCAATGACTTGACTATAAGTCAATGATTTGTCTATAAGTCAATGGTTTGACTATAAGTCAATGGCTTGACAAGAAGTCAATGGCTTGACTGTAAGTCAATGGCATGGCAATAAGTCAATGGCTTGACTATAAGTCAATGACTTGACTATAAGTCAATGGTTTGACTATAAGTCAATGGTTTGACTATAAGTCAATGGTTTGACTATAAGTCAATGGTTTGTCTATAAGTCAGTGGCTTGGCAATAAGTAAATGGCTTGACTATAAGTCAATGGCTTTGCTATAAGTCAACGGCTTGACTAAAAGTTAATGACTTTACTTAAGGATTGACTTGAAGTCAGTGACTTGATTAGAAGTCAATGATTGACTAGAAGTCAACGGCTTGACTAGAAATCAACGCTTGCTAGAAGTCAATGACTTGACTATAAGTCAATGGATAGACCATGAGTCAATGTCATGACTATAAGTCTATACTATAAGTCAATGGTTTGACTATAAGTCAATGACTTGACCAGAAGTCAATGGATTGACTATAAGACATTGGCTTGACCATATGTCAATGGTTTGACCATAAGTCAATCTCATGACTATAAATCAATGGCTTGACTATAAGTCAATGGTTTGACTCTAAGTCAATGGTTTGGCTATAAGTTAATGGTTTGACTATAAGTCAATGGTTTGACTATAAGTCAATGGTTTGTCTATAAGTCAATGGTTTGACTATAAGTCAATGACTTGACTATAAGTCAATGACTTGACTATAAATCAATGGATAGACCATGAGTCAATGTCATGACTATAAGTCTATACTATAAGTCAATGGTTTGACTATAAGTCAATGACTTGACCAGAAGTCAAAGAATTGACTATAAGACATTGGCTTGACTATATGTCAATGGCTTAACCATAAGTCAATCTCATGACTATAAATCAATGGCTTGACTATAAGTCAATGGTTTGACTCTAAGTCAATGGTTTGGCTATAAGTGAATGGTTTGTCTATAAGTCAATGGTTTGACTATAAGTCAATGGCTTGACTATAAGTCATTGTTTTGACTATAAGTCCATGTTTGACTACAAGTCAATGGTTTGACTATAAGTCAGTGGCTTGACTATAAGTAAATGGCTTGACTATAAGTCAATGGCTTTACTATAAGTTAATGGCTTTACTTAAGGATTGACTGGAAGTCAAGTGCTTGACTAGAAGTCAACGGTCTGATTTTGGGTCAATAGCTTGACTAGAAGTCAATGACTTGACTAGATGTCAATTGAATGACTTGACAATAGCTTGACTAGAAATGATAATGACCGGCTTGACTAGAACTAGAAGGATTGATTAGAAGTCATTACTTTGGCCAATTAATTTACTTTACTCGAAGTCAATGGCTAACCTAACGAACAATGGATTGACTCGATTTTTATCAAATGAACGATGCAATGGCTTCACTAGAAGACAATGATTTCCTAGAAGACATTTATTTGGCTCGTTGAAAATGACTTAAATCCGAATCCATGACGGGAATAGATGTCAACGGCTTGATTAGACTTGAAGAAGTCAATGACAATAATTTCATTAGAAGATTTTGGAATCAATGTCTAATTTGTACTTACCAAATTGAATCCCTTGCCAAGATTGTTCTGCAAAAAGAATGGGGAACCCCATGCCACTAATTTTCCTGCATTTAAAATTCCAATACGATCTGCAATTTCATTTGATTCATCTATGGAAGATGTTGTCATTATTATGCAGCGATTTCTGCGTTCTTGCCGCAAAATATTCCAATAGCTGTGACGTTCCTCCAATTCCATATACCTTGTGGGATCATCCAATAGAATAATTTGCGTATTACCCGATAAAACACAGCAAAGTGTCACGAGATGCTTCTGATTGTAATTTAGATTTCGTATATGTTGATTTGAATCATTTATAGACGATTTCAATAGTAACAACCATTTGTTGAGTTCCCTTTGTATTGCATCTAGCTGATCTTCAGGGTACTTTTGTTTCAGAATTAAAATATATTTCAGCTGTTCGGCAACGGTCAAATGTTCATAAAGATGATTATGAGGACCCATTATCACATCCATATTGGAACAATAGGTGGACCAGTTTTTGGATAGTTCTTTATTTTGATTGAAATAAATATTGCCCTTATATTTCAGGGATCCCGATAAAAGAGATATGAAGGTGGTTTTACCACTACCCTGAGGACCCACAATTACAGAAATTTCATTTTTAAATATTCTCATTGAAATATTTTTTAAACCCGGTTTCGAATCATATTTATCTTGAAATGTTGAGACATTCTGTAGCAGCAATAGATGACCCTCCACTGGACCGTATTCAAAAGATTTCCAATTCGTGTCTTTGTGTGCGTAATTATAAAATAAGGAAATATTTTCATTCATGAACTCCTCCTCCTTCTTGGTAGAGATTTCGGGAAATTTTGATTCCTTCGAATGTATTTCAGAGCTGGGTTTTAGGAAGTATAGGACGCAGCAATAAAATACAATGGCACATATTTGTATAAAGAAGAGCAACCAAATTTTATAGAGAACTATGTCGTCAGAATTTGTTTCCAAATATTCCATTCCAAATGGAAAGAAATTATTAAAGAATATTAGCATATAGAAAATGGTTTGGAAGTCAATGACGTCTGAGTTTCCTAATTTGATTGAGAAAATTGCATAACTGGCAATCCACAGAGAGGCTGCCATAAATAAAGCCGATCTTCTATTTGGACCAAATAATATGGTCAAAATGAAAGCATTTAATATTAACATGGAACTGTAGAGAATCAAGAACAGAAGCTGATATCCCAGATGACGTTGGATATTATGGCCACTAAGGGACCATTCAATCTGAAAGGAGAAGCAGAATTTTGGAAATAAAAATAACTTAAAGATTATTGACATTTTAAAGAATATTTTTTAAAGAGCCTACACAAGGAGGGAATTTTTTAAAGATTATTTTTGAGGACCTACACTAGGCGTTGATTTTTTAAAAATTATTTTTAAGGACCTACACAAGGTGTCGATTTTTTAAAAATTATTTCTGAGGACCTACAAAGTTGTCTATTTTTTTAAGAATTATTTTTAAAATCCTACACAAGGCGTGAATTTTTATTTTAAGGACCTATAAAATAATTTTTAAGGACCCACACAAGGAGTAGGGTTTTTGATAATTAATTTTGAGGACCTGCACAAGGTGTGGATTTTTATTTTTAACCTTTCAAGGCGTTAAAGGAATATTTTTCCAAGGACAATTTTTCCATACAAGACGTGGATTTTTGAAATGTATATTTTTGCAAGTACTTACCAATAAAAATCCCAAAATCAGCAAATTAATAATCATTAAATGCAAAAATGCTGCTATAAAATGACCATTCCAGTAATCAATGTAGGATATTCCGTAAACAGAACAATGACTTGGAATATGGTTTTCGACTTCATTGGAGACTTTCTGAAAAAGGGAAATAATTTAATTTTTATTTATCATTGATGAATTAAATATAAATTCACAATACAAAATACACGCCTACCGCTCTGATAGTCCTTCAAAAATATTATATAAAAAATGCGCCTATAGATCTGATAGACCTTTTATTGAATATTATTGAAAGAATCTAAACTTATCGATAGTTCAATAATAATATTATGTAAAAAGGTCCTTATGGTCCTTGAAAAATATTAATAAAAATCCATGCTCATTGATCTGTTAGTCCTTTAAAAATGCTGCATAAGGTCTTTCATAGCTCTGATAGTCCTTTAAGAATATTAGTAAAAAATCCGCTTTTATAGCTCTGATAGTCCTCTAAAAATATTATTTAAAAAGGTATTTATGATCCTTGAAAAATAGTTTTTTTAATCCAGGATTGTAGCTCTGATAGACCTTAAACAATTATTATTGTTCACGATTATAGCTATGATAGTCCTTCAATATTGTTATTTAAAAAAATCCACGCTTATAGCTTTGATAATCCTTTGTAATATTATTTAAACAGTTACCGCTTATAATTATTTAAGAATGTCCAGATTTAAGGCTTGGATAGTTCTTTAATATATTATCTTAAACCCCACGCTTATTGCCTTAATAGTCGTTTAAAAATATTACTTAAAAAAACCCACCCATGGCACTAATAGTCCTTAAAAATCTCATTGGGTTATTATTGAAAGCTTCACTTACCCTCACCAGATTTAGAAATGGTACCAAATATATAAAATAATAAAATGTCCAGATGAAATGTGTAGCATTCTTCTGGCCATCATACTGTGTCTGTCCTCCTCCTGCGCTGTGTTGAAATGCTTTAAAACTCAATGATGGAAGTTTTTCCTCCAGACCCTTATTGTAAAACTTCGCCCAAGCTTCGAAAATAGAATGTTGTAGTTGTAGGAAGCCTTCCTTAAGATATATATTGAGATTTTCAATCTCACTGTCCACATTTCTCATGGACCAAAAACAATCGGAATTCGAACAATTGTGGCCACTTTGTAAGGTACGAAATTGACTGGGAAATCGTAGGGTTAGGGATAAAAAATCGCTAGAGAATTCATGAAATATAACTACTGCGAGAGTGGTATTTCTATTGAAAATGTTCAGCATCTGATCTTCATTTTTATATCCCATGGGATTTTCTGTTAGGCCCAATGACTTGGAGACATTATGCATTATGGTGGCAGTTGTTTCATGTTCCGGGGTATATAATAGAAGGGATCTATTCATAATTTGCCTAGGGAAAAATAAACAATATTTAGCATTGATTACTGTCTGAGATGTAAGTACAAAGTTGCCGATTTCCGATTATTTTCTCATGATGTGTACTTACTGCCATTCCATAATATTATTTATCTCCAAACTGTTTTCATTTACAATTATTGTATTTGCCAATTTCTCAGATTGCGCTCTCCAAAAATTGTGAGAATTCAGAAAGATTAAAAGAAATTCTGCGATAATTATCTCAAATTCCAGTAACGCGAAATACCATGATCGTATATCATATTTAATATTGATTTTTAATAGAAGAGACAATTTTTTGCTTCTGGATAACATTTTCACAAAAAATATATTTGTATATTTTTAAATTGAAAAAAGAAATAAAAGTAATAAGAAGAAGAGGCATTTAAATTGAGCATGGGCGCAATAAAAAGGCCTCTGGGGCCTTCTATTTAAAACAACAAGAGGCCTCTTTATAGTCCTCGAAAAATATTCTTTAAAAAATCCACGCCTCTTTATAGTCCTCGAAAAATATTCTTTAAAAAATCCACGCCTCTTTATAGTCCTCGAAAAATATTCTTTAAAAAATCCACGCCTCTTTATAGTCCTCGAAAAATATTCTTTAAAAAATCCACGCCTCTTTATAGTCCTCGAAAAATATTCTTTAAAAAATCCACGCCTCTTTATAGTCCTCGAAAAATATTCTTTAAAAAATCCACGCCTCTTTATAGTCCTCGAAAAATATTCTTTAAAAAATCCACGCCTCTTTATAGTCCTCGAAAAATATTCTTTAAAAAATCCACGCCTCTTTATAGTCCTCGAAAAATATTCTTTAAAAAATCCACGCCTCTTTATAGTCCTCGAAAAATATTCTTTAAAAAATCCACGCCTCTTTATAGTCCTCGAAAAATATTCTTTAAAAAATCCACGCCTCTTTATAGTCCTCGAAAAATATTCTTTAAAAAATCCACGCCTCTTTATAGTCCTCGAAAAATATTCTTTAAAAAATCCACGCCTCTTTATAGTCCTCGAAAAATATTCTTTAAAAAATCCACGCCTCTTTATAGTCCTCGAAAAATATTCTTCAAAAAATCCACGCCTCTTTATAGTCCTCGAAAAATATTCTTTAAAAAATCCACGCCTCTTTATAGTCCTCGAAAAATATTCTTTAAAAAATCCACGCCTCTTTATAGTCCTCGAAAAATATTCTTTAAAAAATCCACGCCTCTTTATAGTCCTCGAAAAATATTCTTTAAAAAATCCACGCCTCTTTATAGTCCTCGAAAAATATTCTTTAAAAAATCCACGCCTCTTTATAGTCCTCGAAAAATATTCTTTAAAAAATCCACGCCTCTTTATAGTCCTCGAAAAATATTCTTTAAAAAATCCACGCCTCTTTATAGTCCTCGAAAAATATTCTTTAAAAAATCCACGCCTCTTTATAGTCCTCGAAAAATATTCTTTAAAAAATCCACGCCTCTTTATAGTCCTCGAAAAATATTCTTTAAAAAATCCACGCCTCTTTATAGTCCTCGAAAAATATTCTTTAAAAAATCCACGCCTCTTTATAGTCCTCGAAAAATATTCTTTAAAAAATCCACGCCTCTTTATAGTCCTCGAAAAATATTCTTTAAAAAATCCACGCCTCTTTATAGTCCTCGAAAAATATTCTTTAAAAAATCCACGCCTCTTTATAGTCCTCGAAAAATATTCTTTAAAAAATCCACGCCTCTTTATAGTCCTCGAAAAATATTCTTTAAAAAATCCACGCCTCTTTATAGTCCTCGAAAAATATTCTTTAAAAAATCCACGCCTCTTTATAGTCCTCGAAAAATATTCTTTAAAAAATCCACGCCTCTTTATAGTCCTCGAAAAATATTCTTTAAAAAATCCACGCCTCTTTATAGTCCTCGAAAAATATTCTTTAAAAAATCCACGCCTCTTTATAGTCCTCGAAAAATATTCTTTAAAAAATCCACGCCTCTTTATAGTCCTCGAAAAATATTCTTTAAAAAATCCACGCCTCTTTATAGTCCTCGAAAAATATTCTTTAAAAAATCCACGCCTCTTTATAGTCCTCGAAAAATATTCTTTAAAAAATCCACGCCTCTTTATAGTCCTCGAAAAATATTCTTTAAAAAATCCACGCCTCTTTATAGTCCTCGAAAAATATTCTTTAAAAAATCCACGCCTCTTTATAGTCCTCGAAAAATATTCTTTAAAAAATCCACGCCTCTTTATAGTCCTCGAAAAATATTCTTTAAAAAATCCACGCCTCTTTATAGTCCTCGAAAAATATTCTTTAAAAAATCCACGCCTCTTTATAGTCCTCGAAAAATATTCTTTAAAAAATCCACGCCTCTTTATAGTCCTCGAAAAATATTCTTTAAAAAATCCACGCCTCTTTATAGTCCTCGAAAAATATTCTTTAAAAAATCCACGCCTCTTTATAGTCCTCGAAAAATATTCTTTAAAAAATCCACGCCTCTTTATAGTCCTCGAAAAATATTCTTTAAAAAATCCACGCCTCTTTATAGTCCTCGAAAAATATTCTTTAAAAAATCCACGCCTCTTTATAGTCCTCGAAAAATATTCTTTAAAAAAATCCACATCTCTTTTTGTACCTAAAAAATATCCTTTAAAAAATCCATGCCTGTATCTGTTTCTCAAAAAAATCTTTTTAAAAAATACGCATTAGCTGGCCCTCGAAAAATATTCCTTGAAAATCCGGTGGTGACCCTAGAATTATTTGACATAATTTAATATTTTTGTGGTTTCTGTTTTTATTCGAACTATGTCCTGGAAATTTCTAATTTTATTAAAAAAGAATTTCATCTTAGAGAAACGATCATGGATTGGAACCTTAGTGGAAATAATGCTGATCGTGGTGTTCTACACTACAATCGTAATTAACCCGGCTGTAAATTCCCGAGATTCGATGATGGAATTGGAAGAGGCTCAACGGACGCATTTCTATGAGAATTGTTCGGATATATATGACCTAACAGCGTTGAGGTAAGCGGAATAAAAAAGGCAAAGTATTAAAAAACTCACCCGTTTTTATAAATTATCCAGACATTTAAAAGGACTCTCAAAGAAACGTCTACGTTATGGTCTGTTATATGGACCTCCAACAAATTTTACCACCCACGTTGTTGAGGAGACCCGCAAGGCGTTAAAAATAAGGAATATTTTCCCTGTACAAACTGAGAAGAGCCTCTTGAATCATTTCCACGAAGATCACTATTTGGCGGGAATATTTTTTCACAATTTAAGTAACAGGGATAATAATTTGGAACCTGGTGGAGTACCAGTCCGATTATCTGCAACCCTTAGCTTTCCAAGTGAATTTCGCACCAGCGAACATCCAGACATTTTTCCAAGTTTATGGCTCACACGTTGCACAGGAGTCCTGGACCATTTGGATACCGACCATCTGAGACATACCGATCTCTATTTACGAGAAGGTTTTTTACAATTACAACATCGATTGTTTATAGAATGGCTGAAATTGTTAATCAATTCTGCGGACAGTGAAGAAGATCTACATTCGAAGGGGTTGTTGCCAAAAATCACGATACGTTCATTTCAACATCGTACAGATCAGGAACCATGTTATGTCGAAGGTTCATCAAACATTATATGGTTCTTGTATTATTTTACATTTTTTGTGCCATTTTTGAGGGTTATAAGGGTAAGTTCGGATGCAATATTGGAAAAGGTTCTTGAAAGGTAATTCCTTACGCTTTACAGAAATTCTCTCAAGAACAAGAAGAAAATATTCCTGCACATCATTTGATTTACGGCTATGAACCTGGACATCTTCGTGCGGCTCATTTTTTGATTTCCTTTTGCCATTTTTTCTTATTGGGTCTAATTATAGTGGCAATACTGACGGTGTGTATTTTTTTAAAGAAAACATTTTGGTACAGGCCTATTTTAGTCTTTGTGCATTTTTGTTAACAAAGAATATTTATGATCCGAGATGAAATTTGGCACAGGTCATTTTTTTAAAAAATTTTTTGATAGACCTAAATATATTTTCGTGGATTTTTTTTAAAGAATATTTTTTGAGAGACCTAAAATAGACGTGGATTTTTTAAAGGAATGTTTTTTAGGCGTGGATTTTTTAAAGAATATTTTTTGAGAGACCTAATATAAAGGCGTGGATTTAATGTTTTAAAGAATATTTTTTCGAGAGACCTAATTTGGCAAGGCGTGGATTTTTTTAAAGAATGTTTTTTAGGCGTGGAGTTTTTAAAAATATTTTTTGAGAGACCTATATATATTTTCGTGGATTTTTTTAAAGAATGTTTTATATATCGTGGATTTTTTAAAGAATATGTGTGTTGAGAGACCTAAAAAAGGCGTGGATTTTTTTAAAAAATATTTTTTAAGGTCCTCTAAAACAAGGCGTGGATTTTTTTAAAAATATCCAAAAAAGGCGTGGATTTTTTTAAAGAATGATGTGTGTTAAGTTTCGTTCGGATTTTTTAATATAATATATATTTTGAGAGACCTAAAAAAGGCGTTATATATTTTTAAAGAATGTTTTTTAGCGTGGATTTTTTAGAATATGTGTGTTTGAGAGACCTAAAAAAGGCGTGGATTTTTTTAAAGAATGTTTTTTAGGCGTGGATTTTTTAAAGAATATTTTTTGAGAGACCTAAAAAAGGCGTGGATTTTTTTAAAGAATGTTTTTTAGGCGTGGATTTTTTAAAGAATATTTTTTGAGAGACCTAAAATAGACGTGGATTTTTTAAAGGAATGTTTTTTAGGCGTGGATTTTTTAAAGAATATTTTTTGAGAGACCTAAAAAAGGCGTGGATTTTTTTAAAGAATATTTTTTGAGAGACCAAAAAAAGGCGTGGATTTTTTTAAAGAATATTTTTTGAGAGACCTAAAAAAGGCGTGGATTTTTTTAAAGAATATTTTTTGAGAGACCTAAAAAAGGCGTGGATTTTTTTAAAGAATATTTTTTGAGAGACCTAAAAAAGGCGTGGATTTTTTTAAAGAATATTTTTTGAGAGACCTAAAAAAGGCGTGGATTTTTTTAAAGAATGTTTTTTAGGCGTGGATTTTTTAAAGAATGTTTTTTAGGCGTGGATTTTTTAAAGAATGTTTTTTAGGCGTGGATTTTTTAAAGAATGTTTTTTAGGCGTGGATTTTTTAAAGAATATTTTTTGAGAGACCTAAAAAAGGCGTGGATTTTTTTTAAGAATATTTTTTGTGAGACCTAAAATAGGCGTAGGTTTTTCAAAAATAGTTTTGTAAGGACCTAAAATAGGCGAAGGTTTTTCAAGAATATTTTTGTAAGGACCTGAAATATTTTTGTAAGGATCTGAAATAGGCGTGGATTTTTCCAGAATATTTTTGTAAGGACCTGAAATAGGCGTGGATTTTTCCAGAATATTTTTGTAAGGACCTGAAATAGGCGTGGATTTTTTAATAATAATTTTTTAGAGACTTATACGAATATATTTTATTTCTTTTCAGATCGAATGGACCAGCATTGAAAAATATCACATATTTCGTCGAATAAATCCTGCAATACTACTTCTTTTCATTATTCTCTATATAACCATCCTGCTCATTTATGCCATGCTTGTGACGACTGTCTTCGTAAACTCCGCAAATTGTGTTCTCTTCGGAGCTGCAATGTGGCTCGGTTCCTATGGTCTATTCTCCCTTGTCATGGATACTTCGGAAAAATTCTCAATAGCTTTGGTCATAAGCCTATTGATATTTTTCAATAATATGTACCCATATGGAATGCGTCTAATGAAAGAAGCGGAAGATCAATTGGACTACCAGGAAATATGGTCACTAATTTATATACAGGTTACATATATATTTATGTTATTGTTTGTATTGGCCTTGGCAGATTTATTAAGGCCTGGACGTTATGTCAGACGTAGATATTTTAATTATTTGGGTATACCTTATGTTTGTCACATTTGGCTAAGGCGAAGGAGAGGTGTGCATGACAATTCAATGGAATTGCGGCGTCGTACCACAATGTCATCTGCGATGGTGGTAGTCGGTCCATATCCCAGTTGCCAAAATTTGGAATGTGGTCCAGTGATGGGTCAAGAAGTGTTGTATTTGAAAAACATCAATACTTATAGGGATCGTATCAGGAATATTCAACAGCTGAAGAAACTTACCCTGAGATTTTATAAAAATGAAATCTCCGTCATATTGGGACCGCATGGAACAGGGAAAACTCGATTGATTTCGATATTGGCTGGTTGGTGTAAACCATTTAAAGGAAATATTTATTTTAATGGCGATTTTGATATATATGAAAATTGTTATAATTATCACGATATCATTGATGTTTCGATGCCCAATAACCCGCTGTGGCCAGCATTGACTGTTCAAGAAACCCTATGGTATTTTTGTGCAATAAAACAAAAGCCCAGGGGCAAAGAAGACCTTGAAATGGAAATCAAGAAATGGTTGAAGGTTTTAGGAGAGCATTTGCCCAATGGTTCCCTAACATTTGTAAGAGATTTATCATTTTCCCAAAAACGTTTACTTGCTCTCTGTTCTGCCTTGTCGGGGGATAGAGTGATAATACTTTTGGATAATCCCACCTTGCATATGACACTGAAGGAACAGTTGCCGTATTGGGAAATATTACGCCAGGAGAAAGAAAATCGAGCCATTATTATAACTACATTTTCCATCAATGAGGCTGATGCCATTGGAGATCGTATCGGCATATTGAGTGATGGCAATCTTTTGGCATGGGGTACACCATTTTTTCTGAAGACACGATTTGGCAGTGGATTTGATTTGGTAAGAAAAAAAATAGTCTTTGTAATTTATTTAAAAAAAACTCTCCTTGAAAAAATATTCTTTAATAATCCACATTTATCCTTGAGAAAACATATTTCTATAGTCCTTGGAAAAATATTTTTTAAAAAATCCACGCCTTCAATAGTCCTTGGAAAAATATTTTTTAAAAAATCCACGCCTTCAATAGTCCTTGGAAAAATATTTTTTAAAAAATCCACGCCTTCAATAGTCCTTGGAAAAATATTTTTTAAAAAATCCACGCCTTCAATAGTCCTTGGAAAAATATTTTTTAAAAAATCCACGCCTTCAATAGTCCTTGGAAAAATATTTTTTAAAAAATCCACGCCTTCAATAGTCCTTGGAAAAATATTTTTTAAAAAATCCACGCCTTCAATAGTCCTTGGAAAAATATTTTTTAAAAAATCCACGCCTTCAATAGTCCTTGGAAAAATATTTTTTAAAAAATCCACGCCTTCAATAGTCCTTGGAAAAATATTTTTTAAAAAATCCACGCCTTCAATAGTCCTTGGAAAAATATTTTTTAAAAAATCCACGCCTTCAATAGTCCTTGGAAAAATATTTTTTAAAAAATCCACGCCTTCAATAGTCCTTGGAAAAATATTTTTTAAAAAATCCACGCCTTCAATAGTCCTTGGAAAAATATTTTTTAAAAAATCCACGCCTTCAATAGTCCTTGGAAAAATATTTTTTAAAAAATCCACGCCTTCAATAGTCCTTGGAAAAATATTTTTTAAAAAATCCACGCCTTCAATAGTCCTTGGAAAAATATTTTTTAAAAAATCCACGCCTTCAATAGTCCTTGGAAAAATATTTTTTAAAAAATCCACGCCTTCAATAGTCCTTGGAAAAATATTTTTTAAAAAATCCACGCCTTCAATAGTCCTTGGAAAAATATTTTTTAAAAAATCCACGCCATCAATAGTCCTTGGAAAAATATTTTTTAAAAAATCCACGCCATCAATAGTCCTTGGAAAAATATTTTTTAAAAAATCCACGCCTTCAATAGTCCTTGGAAAAATATTTTTTAAAAAATCCACGCCTTCAATAGTCCTTGGAAAAATATTTTTTAAAAAATCCACGCCATCAATAGTCCTTGGAAAAATATTTTTTAAAAAATCCACGCCTTCAATAGTCCTTGGAAAAATATTCTTTAAAAAATCCACGCCTTCAATAGTCCTTGGAAAAAATATTCTTTAAAAAAATCCACGCCTTCAATAGTCCTTGGAAAAAATATTCTTTAAAAAATCCACGCCTTCAATAGTCATTGGAAAAAATATTCTTTAAAAAAAGTCCTTGGAAAAAATATTCTTTAAAAAATCCACGCCTTCAATAGTCATTGGAAAAAATATTCTTTAAAAGATCCACGACTTCAATAGTCCTTGGAAAAAATATTCCTTAAAAAATCCACGCCTTCAATAGTCCTTGGAAAAATGTTTAAAAACCCAAACCTCCTATGATCTTAAAAATGTTCTTTTCAAACCCAAGCCTCCTTATAGTCCTTACAAATATTCTTTATAAAATCCTCGCCTCCTTATAGACCTTGAAAAAATATTGTTTTACATTATTTTTCTTTCAGATTCTCATAAAAAGGCCGGATTATCCCAATCGTCCCATAACGGACCTAATATCTCAATATATACCCAACACAATACCAACATCTGAAATTGGAGATCAATTGCTCTATAAATTACCTCCGGATAAACGAAATTTATATCAAAAACTTTTAATAAGTCTTGAGAAACAAAGTCAGGAGCTTGGAATCTCAACCATACGCCTTGGGGGTTCTGAACTGAAGGAGATTTATATGAAACTAGGTATGGCTAATTCCGCAGAATCAATGGACATTGCAGAATTACAGCAATTTGGTAAGCACAGATTCCGCAGGCATAGCTATCCTCCCAAAAAATTCGTTCTTGTTACCAATTTCAGGTGAAATTTTCAAATTCACCAAAAAGTCGCGAGTTAATCAGAAATTAAATACAACAAAGCAACAAATTAACGCCATGCTCTACAAGAAAATGATACACCAAGCTCCGAACATTATACCGATCATTATGATTTTTGTTGTATTCCTTTTGATTCTGCTGATAAATGAAATGACGAAATTATTGCGAATACCGAGTACCCAAAATGAAGGCATCCATTTGGGTCTACCGCGTAATGCCACGGAACGTGACTTTCTTTCCCAATTCGATAATTGTTCCTTTGTAGAGGTTGCCGAAATTCAAACTGCCGACTATCAATTGAAATTAAATAATAAACCCAAATATTTTCTCTTTAAACGTTTTGAGTGTGGCCAGGGGCCGTATCAGGAGGATCTGTTAAGTGATACGGGTATCTATGATAAATTTGGTGCTGTGGAATATCAGGGGCCGAGCAGGCAGGATATGGTGCTGTGGATAAATGAAAAGATATTTCATACAGCAGCGATCTCATTGAATTTGGCACATAATTTGATTTTGAGGTAAGTGGGGATTTTTTAAGGAATATATTTTTAAGGGTCAAAATAGGCGTAACTTTTTTAAAGAGTACTTTTCCAAAGAACACAAGGAGTCGTGGATTTTTTAAAGAATATTTTTTGAAAGACCAGTAGTAGGCGTGGATTTTTTTAAGGACCAGTACAAGGCGTGGATTTTATAAAGAACATTTTTTCAAGGACCAGTACAAGGCGTGGATTTTATAAAGAACATTTTTTCAAGGACCAGTACAAGGCGGGGATTTTATAAAGAAGATTATTTCAAGGACCAGTACAAGGCGTGGATTTTATAAAGAAGATTTTTTCAAGGACCAGTACAAGGCGTGGATTTTATAAAGAAGATTTTTTCAAGGACCAGTACAAGGCGTGGATTTTATAAAGAAGATTTTTTCAAGGACCAGTACAAGGCGTGGATTTTATAAAGAAGATTTTTTCAAGGACCAGTACAAGGCGTGGATTTTATAAAGAAGATTTTTTCAAGGACCAGTACAAGGCGTGGATTTTATAAAGAAGATTTTTTCAAGGACCAGTACAAGGCGTGGATTTTATAAAGAAGATTTTTTCAAGGACCAGTACAAGGCGTGGATTTTATAAAGAAGATTTTTTCAAGGACCAGTACAAGGCGTGGATTTTATAAAGAAGATTTTTTCAAGGACCAGTACAAGGCGTGGATTTTATAAAGAAGATTTTTTCAAGGACCAGTACAAGGCGTGGATTTTATAAAGAAGATTTTTTCAAGGACCAGTACAAGGCGTGGATTTTATAAAGAAGATTTTTTCAAGGACCAGTACAAGGCGTGGATTTTATAAAGAAGATTTTTTCAAGGACCAGTACAAGGCGTGGATTTTATAAAGAAGATTTTTTCAAGGACCAGTACAAGGCGTGGATTTTATAAAGAAGATTTTTTCAAGGACCAGTACAAGGCGTGGATTTTATAAAGAAGATTTTTTCAAGGACCAGTACAAGGCGTGGATTTTATAAAGAAGATTTTTTCAAGGACCAGTACAAGGCGTGGATTTTATAAAGAAGATTTTTTCAAGGACCAGTACAAGGCGTGGATTTTATAAAGAATATTTTTTCAAGGACCAGTACAAGGCGTGGATTTTATAAAGAAGATTTTTTCAAGGACCAGTACAAGGCGTGGATTTTATAAAGAAGATTTTTTCAAGGACCAGTACAAGGCGTGGATTTTATAAAGAAGATTTTTTCAAGGACCAGTACAAGGCGTGGATTTTATAAAGAAGATTTTTTCAAGGACCAGTACAAGGCGTGGATTTTATAAAGAAGATTTTTTCAAGGACCAGTACAAGGCGTGGATTTTATAAAGAAGATTTTTTCAAGGACCAGTACAAGGCGTGGATTTTATAAAGAAGATTTTTTCAAGGACCAGTACAAGGCGTGGATTTTATAAAGAAGATTTTTTCAAGGACCAGTACAAGGCGTGGATTTTATAAAGAAGATTTTTTCAAGGACCAGTACAAGGCGTGGATTTTATAAAGAAGATTTTTTCAAGGACCAGTACAAGGCGTGGATTTTATAAAGAAGATTTTTTCAAGGACCAGTACAAGGCGTGGATTTTATAAAGAAGATTTTTTCAAGGACCAGTACAAGGCGTGGATTTTATAAAGAAGATTTTTTCAAGGACCAGTACAAGGCGTGGATTTTATAAAGAAGATTTTTTCAAGGACCAGTACAAGGCGTGGATTTTATAAAGAAGATTTTTTCAAGGACCAGTACAAGGCGTGGATTTTATAAAGAAGATTTTTTCAAGGACCAGTACAAGGCGTGGATTTTATAAATAAGATTTTTTCAAGGACCAGTACAAGGCGTGGATTTTATAAAGAAGATTTTTTCAAGGACCAGTACAAGGCGTGGATTTTATAAAGAAGATTTTTTCAAGGACCAGTACAAGGCGTGGATTTTATAAAGAAGATTTTTTCAAGGACCAGTACAAGGCGTGGATTTTATAAAGAAGATCTTTTCAAGGACCAGTACAAGGCGTGGATTTTATAAAGAAGATTTTTTCAAGGACCAGTACAAGGCGTGGATTTTATAAAGAAGATTTTTTCAAGAACTATATGGTGACGTTGTTTTTTTCTAATATTTATGTCCTCTTTGTGTTCCTTTCCAGTAACATATTTCCAAATCGATCTGATATCCTGACAACCATCATCAATAAACCGAAAATTATACCGCTGCACATAAACATCAATTTGATTGATAATCAAGTGTCACATTTACGTTTGGCTCTAACGATGGGCGTCATTATGCCCATTACAATGTCCTGTTTTATTGTGGGACTTGTGGAGGAGCGAACAAATCACCTATTGACGCTGCAGCGTATTGCCGGTGTAAAGTTATCAATATACTGGCTTATTGGCATATTGTGGGATTTTGGAACATTTTTTGCTTTCTCGATTATATATTTTTTGGTAATGCTGGTATCGACCATTGAAGGGTTCGGCACCATGGCGAAACTATGTACGTATGTGGCATTATAACCTCACTGTTATTTTAATTGTTTCCTTTAAGTGATTTTACTTCTTCTGAATGTCCATGGCTTATCGGCATTGTGTTTTATTTATCTGCTGTCCTTATTTATGCCTCGTTCAAGATATCGGGCATTTTTAATAGCCATTGTGGTTCAACTTGTACTTGGTAAGAAGAAATCTTAATTTTAAAAACAATTTTTTTTCTATTTACTTTTTTCTGGTAGGTCTTTGTACATATGTCTTCTATTGGGATGTTGCCGAGACTAGCAGCACCTTTTACTATTTATTGTCCTTGTCACCAACATTTTCCCTACTGGATGGAATTAGTAATATCTACACTGAAAATAAGGAACATGAATATTGTCGAGAACGATGTCAGGATATTCCAGGGTGTTACACGGAAAATATGTGTTCACTTATTCCAAATTGTTGTGGTAATTACACACATACCTTAAATATTCTTTAAAAAATTCACGCCTTGTGCTGGACCTTAAAAAAATATTCTTTAAAAAATCCATGCCTTGTGCTGGTCCTTGAAATAATATTATTTAAAAAATCCATGCCTTGTGCTGGTCCTTGAAAAAATATTATTTAAAAAATCCACGCCTTGTGCTGGTCCTTGAAAAAATATTCTTTAAAAAATCCACGCCTTGTTCTGGTCCTTGAAAAAATATTCTTTAAAAAATCCACGCCTTGTGCTGGTCCTTGAAAAAATATTCTTTAAAAAATCCACGCCTTGTTCTGGTCCTTGAAAAAATATTTTTTAAAAAATCCACGCCTTTGTCTGATCATTGAAAAAATATTCTTTAAAAAATCCACGCCTTGTGCTGGTCCTTGAAAAAATATTCTTTAAAAAATCCACGCCTTGTGCTGGTCCTTGAAAAAATATTCTTTAAAAAATCCACGCCTTGTGCTGGTCCTTGAAAAAATATTCTTTAAAAATATTATTTTTTGCAGCCGATAATTTTTTCAAATGGTCATCTCCCGGAATCTTGCCTTCTCTATCGTTTATGTTACTCTCGGGGGTATTATCGAGCCTGCTGTATTTCCTAATAAATATATATCGCAATGAAAAACTGCACAGTGGTACACCAAGGTCAGTATGGAGATGAAAGTAAATTTACAAAAATTATGATCCCTGTGCCTTCCCAGAATAAAACAAATGGGCAGTGTTTGTTTCCCCTATGAAGATGACGAAGTGATGACTGAAAAGGTTCGCATATCCAACATGGATTCTAACGGTTGTCGGAAATATCAACTTTTGGCCGATCAAATTGAGCAGCAGTTACCCAGGCATGGTCTACGTTTGAACACCATTTCCATGGCCTTGGAAGGGTAAGTTAGGTCTTTTATTATATATAAACCCGGTATTAATCTAAATTTTTGATTCCAGCTCCACCTGTGTGGCTTTGTATGGCTCCCATCATTCCGGTAAATCCCATTTGATACGACAATTATTAGGTACAGAACCAATGCGTTTTGGAGAATTGTACATCTGTGGCCATGATTGTCGATATGAAACGAGAGATGCCTATCAAGCTGTTGGTTATTGTCCTCAGGATCGAGGACTTTGTAATTCATTTACTCCACGACAGCTAATGACATTATTTCTGATGATACGTGGCATTTCCGAACCAGCGGCCTCACAAAAGATACGAACCGTTTCTCAAGTCCTTCAGTTGCGACGTTATATGCGAATGCGGATTTGTTATGTTCCGATGGAGGTTAGACGTAAACTAAACATAGCCATGTCCTTGATACTTTGCAATGGAATTTTAATATTGGATGAACCGACTCGGGGCATGTCGGCCATGGATCGTCAATTAATCATTACAATCTTGAGGAAGATGCGTTCCATTGGCCATACGTTGTTAATTAGTTCCAGTGACAGTCTGGAATGTCATCAATTGGCCGATAAATTATTTGTCTTGCAGAATGGTGAGGCATTGGCCATGGGTAGCCCGACCTATGTGGGAAATAAATATGGCAAAGGATTTTATTTGGAAGTCAGATTATTGTTGGATGGCAATACAACAGAAAAAATTGAAGAAAAGTGAGTTAAGTCATTTGGTAATTTATCCAAAAAGAGAGCTAACATATTTTTTGTATTTTATTTCAGTTTGGAAAAAGATATAGAAAATATGCAGACCTATGTTAATTTTTTGCATGGGGAATCCAAATTGGTGTAAGTATAAAATCGGATTTTCTCAAAGAATATTTGTTCAAGGCGTGGATTTTATAAAGAATATTTTTTTTCAAGGACCAGAACAAGGCGTGAATTTTTTAAGGACTATTTTTTCAAGGGCCAGCACAAGGCGTGGATTTTTCAAAGAATATTTTTTCAAGGACCAGAACAAGGCGTGTTTTTTTAAGGACCATAACAAGGCGTGGATTTTTTAAAGAATATTTTTTCAAGGACCAGAACAAGCCGTGGTTTTTTTAAGGACCATAACAAGGCGGGGATTTTTTAAAGAACATTTTTTATGACCAGAACAAGGCGTGGATTTTTTTAAAATTTTTTTAGGGACCTACAAGGACCATCACAAGGCGTGGATTTTTTAAAGACTATTTTTTAGGGACCTACAAGGACCAGCACAAGGCGTGGATTTTTTAAAGACTACTTTTTAGGGACCTACAAAGACCTACAAAGACCAGCACAAGGCGTGGATTTTTTAAAGACTATGTTTTAGGGACCCACAAGGACCAGCACAAGGCGTGGATTTTTTAAAGACTATTTTTTAGGGACCTACAAGGACCAGCACAAGGCGTGGATTTTTTAAAGACTATTTTTTAGGGACCTACAAGGACCAGCACAAGGCGTGGAGTTCTTAAAGACTATTTTTAGGGACCTACAAGGACCAGCACAAGGCGTGGAGTTCTTAAAGACTATTTTTTAGGGACCTACAAGGAACAGCACAAGGCGTGGAGTTCTTAAAGACTATTTTTTAATATTTTTCTAGGACCAGAACAAGTCGTGGATTTTTTAAAGAATATTTTTTCTAGGACCAGAACAAGGCGTGGATTTTTTAAAGAATATTTTTTCTAGGACCAGAACAAGGCGTAGATTTTTAAAGAATATTTTTTCTAGGACCAGAACAAGGCGTAGATTTTTAAAGAACACTTTTTTGAGACGTGGATTTTTTAAAGCACACTTTTTTGAGACGTGGATTTTTTAAAGAACACTTTTTTGAGACGTGGATTTTTTAAAGAACACTTTTTTGAGACGTGGACTTTTTAACGAATATATTTTCTAGGACATGAAGAAGGCGTGGATTTTTTAAAGATTATTTTTTCAAGGACCAGAACATTTTGCGGGGATTTTTAAAGGATATTTTTTCTAGGACCAGAATATGGATTTAAAAGATGTTAGGGCATATAAGTATAGTTTTTATGTTGTGAAAGACCTGCGGATTTTTTTCAAAATCTATTTTGAATACATTTAAAATGGTTCTTCACTTTATTTTAAAATTTTTGTTACAGAAATCAATATCGCAATACTTTGAAATATTACATACCTCTTTTAAATGTTCAATATTCCTATTTGTTTGGATCGTTGGAGAAAAATCGACATCGTTTGAATATTTCGGAATACACAATTGGCCAGGAATCACTTCTAATGATTTTAAATAAAATAGTGACAACAAGAAATCTTAACGAATCAATTCGAAAGAAATTAAAATTTGAACAAAATCGAAATGTAGAATAAATAAATTATATTTCTCAGACACCTTATAATAGGTGGCGCCCAATAAAAACACATGTCTATTTTTTTAATTATGTATAGTGTGTTTACATCATAATTTTTCCTGTTAACCTTATGAATTCTTACCTTCTGTTATCCAATTATTAAATTAATTTCTAATGAGATCTCTTTCCTCCGACTTTCTCCTCATTAACCTATTAACTTGTGTGTTGGTCAAAAGCGTGTCACATTTGCCTATTCCAATACGCCATGAAATTGCATTTCGTACTTGGATCAACGACCTGCGGCCAGTTAGATTGTCCATGTCCATTTAAACTTCCCTTTTTTCCTTTGAAACATGGGAACCAAATTCGAAGTCCACAGGTGTTGCCTTGTGGTTTTAATGAAATTGGTCCAAGTGTCATATATCAACGTACAATGTCAACACTGCTCGAGAATTCACATGACCTCATTCAAGGAATATGCGTATTTGGTCTCAAGAAGAAGATGAAGAAGAAGCATTTGAAAAAACAACAACTATTGATTTCTCACATAAAATAGTAACCTTCAATGTTGTAAACAGTTGTTCCGATGTCCTTAGAAATGTGATGTCATTTCAAAGGAATGCAAATGCCAGCATGTTCATTAGATTTTTTCTCCCAGGAGAGAAATTGTAATTTTGTTTAGAAAGTTTATTTAATCTCAAATATAATCAATGTTAACTAGAGGTCGACATTAGGTGAGATTGTCAAGGACCATCATTTTTTCATGATCCTTTAAGAGTGGGTGTTTTATTAAAAAGTTTATTCGAGTTCTAACGCAAGGAGTGGATTTAAAAAAAATATTCAAGGACTAAGAGGAGGCGTGGATTTTTAAAGAATATTTTTTACAAGGACTATAGAAGTCGTGGATTTTCAAAGACTATTCTTTACAAGGACTATAGAAGGCGCGGATTTTTCAAAGGATATTTTTTACAAGGACTATAGAAAAAGTGGATTTTGAAAGAATATTTTTTCAAGGACCAGAACAAGGCGTGGATTTTTTAAAGACTATTTTTTCAAGGACCAGAACAAGGCGTGGATTTTTTAAAGAATATTTTTTCAAGGACCAGAACAAGGCGTGGATTTTTTAAAGAATATTTTTTCAAGGACCAGAACAAGGCGTGGATTTTTTAAAGAATATTTTTCATGGACCAGAACAAGGCGTGGATTTTTTAAAGAATATTTTTCATGGACCAGAACAAGGCGTGGATTTTTTAAAGAATATTTTTCATGGACCAGAACAAGGCGTGGAATTTTTAAAGAATATTTTTTAAGGACCAGAAAAAGGCGTGGATTTTTTTAAAAAATAATTCTTCAAAGACCAGATCATGGCGTGGATTTTTTAAAGAATTTTTTTCAAGGATCAGACAAAGGCGTTGATTTTTTAAAGAATATTTTTTTAGGACCAGAACAGGGAGTGGATTTTTTAAAGAATATTTTTTCAAGGACCAGAACAAGGCGTGGATTTTTTAAAGAATATTTTTTCAAGGACCAGCACAAGGCGTGGATTTTTTAAAGAATATTTTTTCAAGGACCAGAACAAGGTGTGGATTTTTTAAAGAATATTTTTTCAAGGACCAGAACCAGGCGTGGATTTTTTAAAGAATATTTTTTCAAGGAATATTTTTTCAAGGACCAGAACAAGGCGTGGATTTTTTCAAGGAATATTTTTTCAAGGACCAGAACAAGGCGTGGATTTTTTAAAGAATATTTTTCATGGACCAGAACAAGGCGTGGATTTTTTAAAGAATATTTTTCATGGACCAGAACAAGGCGTGGATTTTTTAAAGAATATTTTTCATGGACCAGAACAAGGCGTGGATTTTTTAAAGAATATTTTTCATGGACCAGAACAAGGCGTGGATTTTTTAAAGAATATTTTTTAAGGACCAGAAAAAGGCGTGGATTTTTTAAAAAATAATTCTTCAAAGACCAGATCATGGCGTGGATTTTTTAAAGAATTTTTTTTTCAAGGATCAGACAAAGGCGTTGATTTTTTAAAGAATATTTTTTTAGGACCAGAACAGGGAGTGGATTTTTTAAAGAATATTTTTTAAGGACCAGAAAAAGGCGTGGATTTTTTAAAAAATAATTCTTCAAAGACCAGATCATGGCGTGGATTTTTTAAAGAATTTTTTTTCAAGGATCAGACAAAGGCGTTGATTTTTTAAAGAATATTTTTTTTAGGACCAGAACAGGGAGTGGATTTTTTAAAAAATATTTTTTCAAGGACCAGAACAAGGCGTGGATTTTTTAAAGAATATTTTTTCAAGGACCAGCACAAGGCGTGGATTTTTTAAAGAATATTTTTTCAAGGGCCAGAACAAGGTGTGTATTTTTTAAAGAATATTTTTTCAAGGACCAGAACCAGGTGTGGATTTTTTAAAGAATATTTTTTCAAGGACCAGAACAGGGCGTGGATTTTTTAAAGAATATTTTTTCAAGGACCAGAACAAGGCGTGGATTTTTTCAAGAATATTTTTTCAAGGACCAGAACAAGGCGTGGATTTTTTAAAGAATATTTTTTCAAGGACCAGAACAGGGCGTGGATTTTTTAAAGAATATTTTTTCAAGGACCAGAACAAGGCGTGGATTTTTTCAAGGACCAGAACAAGGCGTGGATTTTTTAAAGAATATTTTTCAAGGACCAGAACAAGGCGTGGATTTTTTAAAGAATATTTTTTCAAGGACCAGCACAAGGCGTGGATTTTTTAAAGAATATTTTTTCAAGGACCAGAACAAGGTGTGGATTTTTTAAAGAATATTTTTTCAAGGACCAGAAAAAGGCGTGGATTTTTTAAAGAATATTTTTCAAGGACCAGAACAATTCGTGGATTTTTTCAAGAATATTTTTTCAAGGACCAGAACAAGGCGTGGATTTTTTAAAGAATATTTTTTCAAGGACCAGAACAAGGCGTGGATTTTTTAAAGAATATTTTTTCAAGGACCAGCACAAGGCGTGGATTTTTTAAAGAATATTTTTTCAAGGACCAGAACAGGGCGTGGATTTTTTAAAGAATATTTTTTCAAGGACCACAACAAGGCGTTGATTTTTTAAAGAATATTTTTTCAAGGACCAGAACAAGGCGTTGATTTTTTAAAGAATATTTTTTCAAGGACCAGAACAGGGCGTGGATTTTTTAAAGAATATTTTTTCAAGGGCCAGAACAAGGTGTGTATTTTTTAAAGAATATTTTTTCAAGGACCAGAACCAGGTGTGGATTTTTTAAAGAATATTTTTTCAAGGACCAGAACAAGGCGTGGATTTTTTAAAGAATATTTTTTCAAGGACCAGAACAGGGCGTGGATTTTTTAAAGAATATTTTTTCAAGGACCAGAACAAGGCGTGGATTTTTTAAAGAATATTTTTTCAAGGACCCAGAACAAGGCGTGGATTTTTTAAAGAATATTTTTTTCAAGGACCCAGAACAAGGCGTGGATTTTTTAAAGAATATTTTTTTCAAGGACCCAGAACAAGGCGTGGATTTTTTAAAGAATATTTTTTCAAGGACCAGCACAAGGCGTGGATTTTTTAAAGAATATTTTTTCAAGGACCAGAACAGGGCGTGGATTTTTTAAAGAATATTTTTTCAAGGACCAGAACAAGGCGTGGATTTTTTCAAGAATATTTTTTCAAGGACCAGCACAAGGCGTGGATTTTTTAAAGAATATTTTTTTAAGGACCAGAACAAGGTGTGGATTTTTTAAAGAATATTTTTTCAAGGACCAGAACAAGGCGTGGATTTTTTAAAGAATATTTTTTTCAAGGACCAGAACAAGGCGTGGATTTTTTAAAGAATATTTTTTTCAAGGACCAGAACAAGGCGTGGATTTTTTAAAGAATATTTTTCAAGGACCAGCACAAGGCGTGGATTTTTTAAAGAATATTTTTTCAAGGACCAGAACAAGGTGTGGATTTTTTAAAGAAAATTTTTTCAAGGACCAGAACCAGGCGTGGATTTTTTCAAGAATATTTTTTCAAGGACCAGCTCAAGGCGTGGATTTATTAAAGAATAGTTTTTCAAGGACCAGCACAAGGCGTGGATTTATTAAAGAATAGTTTTTCAAGGACCAGCACAAGGCGTGGATTTATTAAAGAATAGTTTTTCAAGGACCAGCACAAGGCGTGGATTTATTAAAGAATAGTTTTTCAAGGACCAGAACAGGGCGTGGATTTTTTAAAGTATATTTTTTCAAGGACCAGAACAAGGCGTGGATTTTTTAAAGAATATTTTTTCAAGGACCAGAACAAGGCGTGGATTTTTTCAAGAATATTTTTTCAAGGACGAGAACAAGGCGTGGATTTTTTAAAGAATATTTTTTCAAGGACCAGAACAAGGTGTGGATTTTTTAAAGAATATTTTTTCAAGGACCAGAACAGGGCGTGGATTTTTTAAAGAATATTTTTTCAAGGACCAGAACAAGGCGTGGATTTTTTAAAGAATATTTTTTCAAGGACCAGAACAAGGCGTGGATTTTTTAAAGAATATTTTTTCAAGGACCAGAACAAGGCGTGGATTTTTTAAAGAATATTTTTTCAAGGACCAGCACAAGGCGTGGATTTTTTAAAGAATATTTTTTCAAGGACCAGAACAGGGCGTGGATTTTTTAAAGAATATTTTTTCAAGGACCAGAACAAGGCGTGGATTTTTTCAAGAATATTTTTTCAAGGACCAGAACAAGGCGTGGATTTTTTAAAGAATATTTTTTCAAGGACCAGAACAAGGCGTGGATTTTTTAAAGAATATTTTTTCAAGGACCAGCACAAGGCGTGGATTTTTTAAAGAATATTTTTTCAAGGACCAGAACAAGGTGTGGATTTTTTAAAGAATATTTTTTCAAGGACCAGAACAAGGCGTTGATTTTTTAAAGAATATTTTTTCAAGGACCACAACAAGGCGTTGATTTTTTAAAGAATATTTTTTCAAGGACCAGAACCAGGCGTGGATTTTATAAAGAATATTTTTTCAAGGACCAGAACAG